GAAACTTTTAAATTTCTAACTGCTTTAGTTTGGACGAGGGGAGTTTGCGCTTATGGGACAGAACATCTATTTTGAGACTGATATTTGCAAGTTGGACAAGTTCTGGCATCTGGGGAATTAATCTGAAACTTTCAGCATTCCTAGCATCAAGTGTCTTCTAAAGATGTGGGAAATTTTAGATTTCTGGATGCTATATTTTGGGCGAGGTAAATTTTCAAAGGAGAGGGCGCATTTGGGTACGAATAGCCATTTTGAGATCGATTTTTGTCCAACTGGAAAAAATCTTGCACTTGAGAAGATTTTTATGAAACTTTTTTATATATGTTATTATTTATAGCATCAAGTGTCTTCTAAAGCTGGTGAAAATTTCAAATTTTTACGTGCTTTTGTGTGGATGATGTCAATTTTAAAAGGAGAGAACGCACGTGGGATAGATGATCCATTTGGAGACTGATACTTGCCAAGATCCAATAAATGTTTCCATCTGGGAGATTTTTATCAAATTTTCCGAATTATTCGCTTCTAGTCTCTGCTAGAGATAGTGAAAATATCATGTTTCTACAAGCTTTAGTTTGGGGGCACCAAATTTTTAAAGGCGACAGCGCACTCGAGTACGAAGATCCGTTTTGAAACCGATATTTGCTAAGCTGGGAAAAATCTGGCATATGGGCGATTGTTATGAAACTTTCAGCGTTAGTAGCCCCGAGTATCTTCTAACGATTCTGAAAATTTAAATTTTTTGCATGCCTTAGTGTGGGTGACGCAAAGTTTTAAACGAGATAGCGCACTTAATTTCGTATATCTATTTTGAAACCGATATTTGCCAAGCTGAAAAAAAACTGGCATTCCCCAGATTTTTACGGAACTTTCAGCGTTATTAGCACCACGTCTCTTCTATAGACAGTAAAAATTTGAAGTTTCTGAATGGTTCAGTTTGAATGACGGGAATTTTCAAAGGAGAGCGCGCACTTGAGTAACGGTCCATTTTGAGACTGACAGTCACCAAGCTGGAAAAAATCTGGCATTCAGGAAATTTTTATGAAACTCAGCATTTTATGCACCAAGTGTGGTCTGAAGATGGTGAAAATTTCATTAGCTACTTGCTTTAGTTTGGAAGGAGCGAATGTTTAAGGGAGAAAGCGCGGTTGGGTGGAACGGTCCATTTTGTGAGCGACATTTACCCAACAAAAATCTGTACATTATGAAACATTCAGCATTTTTTGATTCTCAGCTTACTGATGGCAAAAATGTGAATTGTGAAATACAATTTTTCTTCAGGCTTACAAAAAAGGGGGCTCCTCAAATATTCTTCTTCAACTGCAGGAACTTGCAAAAAACATTAATTTTCTTCAACATTTCCCAACCGAAATACTAAAAGCGTCAAATGCTGAAAGCAACCAACTTTCTTCGGTAACAAAACCAAGACACGAGATGAGTGAGTTCCGACTAAAAATCTCGAAAGAAAAAGAAAGGATTAAGCGCGGGAAGTAGAGAGCTGAGGTGAAAACTAGAAACATTTTATCAGACCGTCGTGCAAACATTTTAAGAAAAACCAAAGGAAGTTTGCATTTGGGGCATCATCAGCAATATTTTACTATAACGAAAAAATCACTTTCTAATCATATTTCGTCAAGAATTGATGATTTTCTAGGAATTAGACTGTCGTCGATAGGAATGTGGTCCAATTCCAATTCAATGGCAAATTCCTTTCAACGACAGTCTAATTATTCAAAAATCATCAAATGTTCAAACGAATAACGATGGGCATGAAATCCTTAGCCATTTAGAAGTCAGCAAAATAACCATCCGATATTAACACTGAAAATTGAAGGCTGAAGTTAACCGGAAAGAATATGAATGAGACAAGCAGACAAACGATCAATTCTCAAGGTACACACATTACCTTAAGGTATAGCCGAGCTACGCTTCTTAATTTATCAATGTGGGCAAACTATCAGAAGAAATTAATCCGAAGGAAAACAATCCACTCAACATGTCGAACGTCACGTCGAAAAGGGTCGGGAAAAGGCGTTGCCCAAGGCCAGGAAAACTGGAAGAGAAAACTTCTAATTGCTTTAGGGCGGACGCGCGCGAAAATTTAAATTAGTACAAATATGGTACACGCGATGTTATTTCGGGATTTTCCTCCTGACCTATTTTTAGAGCTGCAGGAAACCCGAATAAGAACAATGATTAGGCCTTAATTACTCAGCGCACGGATTATAATTAGAGTCTAAAGTTTCTCCGGTTTATCTGCTTACTTCCCCAATTCTCGTCAAACAAAAGTCTGCTACAGATAAATCTTGATTTGCAGCAATAACGATGCCTATGATAACACTATAAGAAGCCTTTCTCAAATCAATACGATCAATTTATAATGTTATTGATTGCTAGTGAGTGCGGTTCGCACTGATATAATTATAGGATTTTAAAAGGCGAATAAACCGGTTGCAACCATGCGAAAACAAAGGCGACACCCAAATAGGCTGTACCATCATTCGAACAATATGTAAATACTGAACACATGAAATGAGGAGATAAGGCGAGCTTTCTGCCAAAGCGTTTTCCATTTCCATTTTCCGGTGGAAGCTATTGTGCTGTGCATAGTTTGCCAACTGTTCGAGGGATATTTTGCGGCTCAGAGGACAAAACGCAATTTTTAGTGGCAAAACTGACTTTACCATCGAGCTTTACGAGCTTTACTTGAAAATCAACTAATAGACAGAAGCGCAGCTTTGTTTAACCAAAAAGTTGCAAAATATTGCAAGAGTTTCATTGAGAAAACAAATATTTGGATGAATTTATTTAAACTAAAATTTACACGACCAGTTTGCAATTTCACATATTTTCGATAATTTATTGAACCAATAGATCGTCTAAAGTAGGAATAACGACGTACTTAAGCTGGATCTATGACGGAACGATCATTGATATCCATGTTAACTGGTCATAAAACCCGTTTTATGTCACTTTACCGTCAAAACACCTTTTAGTACGGTTCGCCCAAGAGCAATAACATTATATGAAGCAAAATAACACATTTTCCGATAAAAATATATTTGAGTTTTAAGGGCAGTAAATTTTTTATTTCATGTTGCGGACGTTCAACCTCTTGCATTCTCTTGGATGAAATTCAATCTATGAATAGTGAGATTGCTCTGAGGTGCAACAGCCTCTGAAGATGCCTGCTCTGCGTGCTAGCGAAATATCAGAACCAAATTTTGATTGCCAATAGTTTAACAACTTAAAAATCTTCAACAGATCACGAGAGACCGAAGAGGTCTTACTGAATTGCACTTATCACTTAAAAATTCGCATCTTTCGAACCAAGTCAAGTAACAGCAAATTTTTACCATCTTTAGAAGATACTTGATGCTAATAACGCTGAAAGTTTCATAAAAATAAACCGGATGTGAGATTTTTTTTTGCTTGGCTAATATCGGTGTCAAAATGGATGTTCTTACCAAACTACGCTCTCTAACTTAAAAATTCCTGTCGTAAAATCTACAGCAGATACGAGGTTGAAAATCTCCCGATTTTTAGACGACAGTTGACTCTACATGTAGTGGGCTTTTCCTAAAAATCGCCCGCATGCCAGATTTGTTTCAGCTTGACAAATATGGGTCCCAAAATGGACGTTCTTACCCAATTACGCTGTCACGTATAAAAGTTCGCATCTTCCAAACTAATGAACGCAGCAATTTTACATTTTCCCAATATTCAGACGATGCTTGATCCTAAGAATCCTCAAAGTTTCAAAAAAATCGCTAATATGGCAGATTTTTTCCAGCTTGGCGAATATCGGTGTCGAAATGCATGTTCTTGCCTAACTGAGTTTCTCCCTTAAAAATTCGCGTTTTCCAAACTAAAGCAGCCAGTAATTTGAAATGATTACCATTTTTAGCCAATACTTGATAATAAGAATGCTGAAGGTTTCAGACAAATCGCCCGGATGCCAGAATTTTTGGAGCTTTGCAAATATTGGTGTCAAAATGTATGTTCTTATCTAACTGCGATCCATAACTTAAAAATTAGGGGCGTAAAATTTAAAACACGTATGAGCTCCAAATTTTCACCATATTTAGGAAACCATCGACTCTAAAGATGCTGAAAGTTTCACAAAAATCTCTGAGTTGTCAAATTTTTTCCAGCTTGGCAAATATTGGTCTGAAAATGGATGTTCTTGCCTAACTGCACTCTCTCACTTAAAAATTCACTTTTTCCAAACTAAAGTAGGCAGTAATTCAAATTTCGCAGCATCTTTAGAACATACTTAGTGCTAATAATTCGGAAAGTTTCATAAAAATCGACCTGATACCAGCTTTGGCAAATATCGGTTTCAAAATGGATCTTTTTACCCAATTGCGCTCTCTCACTTGAAAAATCGTATCTTCCAAACTGAAGCAGGCAGCAATTCGAAAATTTCACCATCTTTAGCCATCATCCAATACTTGACGCTGACTAAATTTCCAGCTTGACAAATGTCGGTCTCAAAATGGACATTCTGTCCCAACTGCGCTCTCTCCTATAAAAATTCGCATATTCCAAACAAAAGCTCAAAGCAATTTAAAATTTTTACCATTTTTAGAAAACGCTTGAGTCTAAAGATGCTGCAAGTAAGTAACAGTTTGAAATTTACTTCTCCGATATTAAAGAAGAAAATATGAAATGTTCACTTCGGAAATGCACTGTAATGAACGTTTCTAATTATAGACGTACCTTCTTTGTAACTATTTTTAAATTGAATTTCGCCCAAGGGAACGCTTAGCGTCTGATTATTTATTTTAGCTTGCCGGATTTCTAATTTGTTTTGATTAGCGCGATATGACAAAAATATGGGAAAATCTCATCATTTGCTTGTTTTTGCTGTTTAAACGCTTGGCTGCTGATAATTGCAACTGCATTTCTACTGGAACTTTGTTTATCTTGGGCACATAAAACGGATTTAATTTAAAAAAAGTTAAACCTAAATACTTGTGAAAATTAACTTAAAGACAAACCTTGGGAATTCTGGCATAACGTCCAGTACGAGTATCCTTAATGTGTGCGATATCCAGCAAGTCTGCCTCATGATTTTGGTCCACCCAGTACAGGTAGAATCCATCTGGATCCACCTTCAACGTGACGGGTATTCCCACTCCAGTGTCCTGGAAAACAGCATGTTATTGCTCACTGTCACCAAAATTTCATCAAAAAAATAGAAATTTGCGTGTAAAAATAGCTTCAGTACAATTGTTCCTCCCGGAATTTTTTCAATAGATTTGGCCCAAAAATCTATTTTTGACCAACGGTTTAGTGTGTTGTTGAAGTATTGAAAGCACCAGTAAATCAGGCCTTGTGATTAAAAAAGTAATTTGCTAAAAAACCTTAAATTCATAATCAAAACCCCGCAAATTCTATTGTTGAAGGTGATTTAATTTAAAAATAGCATTTCCACTCAATTCAGCCGGAAAAATGGGTTTTCCAGCACTAAGAATGTTAGAGGCGTTGGGATTTTAACGGTGGGACTTATGCAGGAAAATTCTCCAAAATTTCCCCTGCCGTAAAAGAGCAGTCAATATTTTCAAGAAATGTATTTTGGTCGCACTCTCTTCCGCACAAAACAGTGATCTTAATCCAAAAATATGCCCAGTTCTGCGAACTACAACCGACCAACTCACATGCATCACGGATATCAACGGATTCATTCATGAAAAGCTGGAAAAAGTCCAGATAAACCCACGTTCAACTGGCATTATCTTGCAAGGATTCCTGCGAAAACATCCGCAAAAACCAATCCAACTGATTGTCAATAAATAACATAAAATTAGCTCCAACTATCATACATAATTTGAATGGATGCCACTGATTACTAACAACAGTAAAAACATTTTTGATTCAAAATCGCAAGGAAGCGAGATCTGCAACAAGCTCGAAAAGCGAAATAATTCAACATTTGGTTCAGCGGCTTTTGGCTTTTTAATCCATGATAGTTTCTTTAGGTCGAAAAATTTCTAATATTTTTATCGCTTCAATCATTTGAATAGTAAAGAATCAAACAATGCAGCGACTTATTGCAGAAAAACCACTCTAAACTCTAGAGGCCCAAAAAAATCGACCATTTCGAGCTATTTAAAGCGGTCGAGCTAAAATACTGGAACTTTACACTTACATAAAAAATACAGTTATTATGCATGAAGTGCGGCACTCGATGACCCTGCCTAATAAATTTGCATATTCAAATTACAAATTAAGCTAATAGCTCCAAATGGTGAACATATACGGTGTCCCAACATTTCCATCAATAGCGCCAATCGTTCACAAAAAATGTTTTGATGCTCTTGACTTACTTGGAGAAAGAAAATCTTACTCTATCTTGCACAAAAACTTGCTTTCGAATCGGTGTTTTCCTCAATTGTCAAAAAACTGCCACTCCACATTGAAGCAAGATACGGACCTGCTCTTGCCATCTGCAGAAAGATAAAACGTCACTCCACTTTAGCAAGAAACTTGCATTCGAGTCACTCCACTTTAGCAAGAAACTTGCATTCGAGTCACTCTTTTCCTCAGTTTTCGCCATTTGTTTAAAAAAACCATTTTTTTCTCTTCGAGACTTTCAGACAAAAAGTAGCCGCCCAACACGAGAACAGGTACATACCTGCTCTTGTATTCGTTATATAGAGAACCTGACAGTATTTAAAAAAGAAACATGTATTTGTATCGGTATTTTTCTCAATTTTTGCCTTTTGATTTAACCTTGTATTTCAATCGAGACTATCGGACAAGAAATTTTTCCAAAAATATTACTCAAATATCAGGCCATAAACGGACCTGCTCTTGCCTTCCTCAGAAAGACACAACCACACTCTAGTTTAGCAAAAAACTTCAATTCGAAGCGCATTTTCCTCAATTTTTGCCGTTGGGTTTAAAATAACCTTGCTTTCGCTTCGAGACTTTCTGATAAGAAATTTTCAAAAAACTGCCACTCAACATTGAAGCCATGTCCGGACCTGCTCTTGCCTTACTCAGAAAGATAAAACCACACTCCACTTTAGCAAGAAACTTGCATTCGAGTCACTCTTTTCTTCAGTTTTTGCCGTTTGATTTAAAAAATCTTGTTTTCTCTTCTAGACTTTCAGGCAAAAAAATTACCGCTCTACACGAGAACAGGTACATACGTGCTCTTGTATTTGTTCTATAGCGAGAACCTGACAGGATTTAAAAAAGAAACATGTATTTGTATCGGTATTTTCCTCAATTTTTGCATTTTGATTTAACCTTGTATTTCAATCGAGACTATCTGATAAGAAATTTTCCCAAAAATGTTTCTCAAAATGCAGGCCATAAACGGACCTGCTCTTGCCTTCCTCAGAAAGACAAAACCACACTCTAGTTTAACAAAAAACTTCAATTCGAAGCGCACTCTTCCTCAATTTTTGCCGTTTGATTTAAAAGAACCTTGTTTTCGCTTCGAGACTTTCTGATAAGAAATTTTAAAAAAATCGCCATTCAAAACTGAAGCTAGATACTGACCTTCTCTTGCGTCTCTCAGCAAGAAAACACCGCACTTCATTTGACAAAAAAACCGGCATTTTAAAGGGCTTATTAGATTCACCATTTTTGCCGTTTGATTGAAAAAACATTCGACAACTCTTCGCGACTCAAGACTCGCGAAAAAAGTTCAAAAAGCCCCCACGCAAAACTGAAGCGAGATAGGGACCTGCATTTGCTTTTCTCATAAAGACAAAGGGATAGAGGGAATGTGGACAAATTTTACGCTCAAATCAAGGATTCATTAAGTAGAACAACCTTATCTGTATTAAGAACCTTGGAAGGAAAATAAACGTCAACTGTTTATAATGTTGAAATCCAATTGAACGTAAAAGCGATAGGAAATTTCGTAAACTATAAACAACAATTTGCTTTAGAAGCTCATCGCTAACAGTCTAGACTTCGCTACTGCACATTTTATGGCGCTTCTTTCCATTACCCGAACTTCAATTCAGGTTAGAAACTCCCAAGTTTTTCCTTTGCCCAGTCGACGTTCTGAATGCATGAAATAACTAGAAGAGAAGAGGCAAAAAACAACCAGTTATCTTATTTCAAGTATTATTCGAATAGATTAAAAGCCCACGGGTAATTAGAGCGCATGAAGTGATTTATTGAATGTTTATGTAGCAGGAAAACATTTACGTTGCATTTATCACTCGGTTTATTGCTCATGGAGTAAAACTAAGTTTTATTAACTTCCCGGACACGTTCCATGCTTGCGCATTTCCTTACAAATTAAAATACCTTCTTTTTTAATATAATCACCTGCGTATAAACTATCAGTCAATTAGGGACAAATTCGTATCACATTAAGTGCGCTACAAGCATGACTAAGTGAAAAAATACCCGAAAACAACCATTAAATTTCTTCAGGCTCTTAGTCAACTCCTGCTCTTAGTGCGACTTATTTGATACGAGTTTGTCCCTAATTGACTATTCATCCATGCACATAAACTCTGATAATTGCATCAATATGTTTTCATTACGATTTTATTGGCCTGTTTCGACGATTTATTAAAGCCTCCAAAGCGATTTTGCCTAATAAAACATGTGACAAGGCATTTTTCTTAAATTTGGAATAGCGGAATTGAGCAACATTTGGGTTTTGGCGATTGTTTTCTTCATTTATGGTTTACCTACAGTTTGCTGTTTATTATTCATAAGGCTGTTGTTTGAATTAATTAAATCACGAATGCTGGAGCGTTTAAGCAAATAGCGAAAGCTGCAGGCAGGTAGATAAAGCACCACACCAAAATACCCGGAAAGTAATGGAATTAGACAAGAAGTTAAGCCGGTAGACTGATTCCATAATTGTAATTTCAATAATTCAACTAAGTCAAAAGTCTAACTGTAAAACTGAACATTTTTGGTGCTTTTATGCCGCCGTGGAAAATAATTCCTTCTAAGTCCGAAAACAGCCCGAAAGAATCAACACAAACGACAGTCTAAAGCCCGAAAATCTCAGCATTTGGAATGAAAAAATGCGACTTTAAGACTTTTATTATCAATGTTGCAACACGGAAATGGTTTTTAATTGCTTTTGAAAGCTTTTCACGGTGGGATTTTCCGGACGCAAAACTTAGCCTGTTTTACGCCGTTTTCACGCAAGAATTAAAAAGTTTGATAAAAAAGCGGTATCAAACATTAAATTAAGATTAATTAATTCGCGGTTCGTAACTTTTGCCCGTGTCCGGGAGTTTTTCCTGTGGCAAGTTTCGGCTAAAATTAAACACAGATTAAGATTAAGAGCCGTAGAAATTGGGAAATTTGGGAAAACATTAACGTGTTACTTCCGAGCTTTTTCTGGATTAAATTGCTTTAAGGGTTGAAAATATGCAAGATCGGATTTTGGGTGTTAAGCAATTAAAGTTTCACTCTAATGATTAATGCTCAAAAAAGCCTAAACAAGACAACAACAGGATATTTATGTGACTAGGTATCCTGTTGATGGCAAAGTTGTTGAGTTTTCCGAGCTAAAAGTGCCATTTAATTTCAGACGCGATTGCTGAAAATAATATTTTTCTCGCGAATTGATTCAGGAAATAATGGAACTCGGGAAAGCGTAATTGAAGTCGATTTTACGTCGTCTTTTAATGGCACAACACGAAATGGAATCCAATTACTTTTTTAAATACGATATTAATATCCAGATTTTCATTTTCCGCATGCGATTAACATAACATTTGCGATTTTTCAATGCGCAATTTTACATTTAGATCGTAGGGATTTTTCCTCAAAATTCGCGATTTGAGTTAAATTATCAATCTCGTTTTTCCCTTTTGTTGCCTGCACACGATTTTCCGACACTGATGGTTTTCTCTGTAACGACGAGATATATTTTTGATTGATGTTGGTACGCTTTTGAATACATCGTTAAATGTTTGCAACAGGTTCGAATGGGCATGATTGATCTGATTTCGCATTGTTCGTATTACCGATTAAGGACTAATCCATATATGTAGGGCTAAAGCCCTGGACTAAGCGAAATAATTGGATATTACATGAATGATGTATCAAAAATTCACTTGCAGCTGCTTAAAAGCTAAGTTTATTTTAAGAGGGAGTGGAAATATGTAAGGTTCAATTTTGATTACTTTTTAATTACGCGATTCTTTCACAAAAGCTGGCAATTTTTCAGCAAATTTGGATTGATTCTGGCTCCTTTTGGGTTGTTGAGTTCAAGGAGTTTGAAGGTTTGGAGAAAAATTTTGAATTTCTTTTGCTCATTTTTTTCCGCACATTTGCCAGTGTTTTATTCGGTTTAAGGGCGATTTTATTGATTTACAGTAGTCCAAATTTCCAAAAAAAGTTTAACCAGAAACAACCATTCTGCATGAGGGCATTGAGGCGTTAGTTTCATCTCAAGATACATATTTTAGAGCCTTCTTTGTCTGTATTGGTTTATCCTGAGAGAAACAGAAAACCTTACTCGATTTCACAAAGAAACCTGAATTCAAATTGCTTTTTTCCTCAATTTTTGCAATTTGATTGAAGACATTTTTTTTTCGCTTCGAGACTGTGACAATAAATTTGGGCCTGCTCTGGTTTTCCACATAAATACGAATCCTCACTCTAGTTCACCCAGAAATTTGCATTCGAATCGGTATTTTCCTCAGCTTTTGCCATTTGATTTTCCACAAGATTTTGTAAGCGCTTCGAAACTTTCTGACAAGTTTTCAAAAAATTGCCACTCAAAAATAACGCCGGACACTGATCTGCTGATGCTTTCGTTATAAAGAGTAAACTTCACTCTGTTTCACAATTTCAGAGTTTGCATTCTAATCGGTGATTGTTTCAATTTTTGCCATTTTTTTTAAAACAGCTTTGCGTTCGCTTTGAAACTTTCTGGACCTATTTCTTTTAAATCGCCTCTCAAAATTCAAGCCAGGCACTGACATGCTCTTGATTTCATTATAAAGACAAAACCTAACTGTATTTAACAAAGAAAGTTACATTCGAAGCGCTCCATTTGATGTAAAACAACCTCGTCTTCGCTTCGAGACTTTCTGACAAGAAATTTAAAAAATTGCCTCCCACAATTAAAGCCAAGCAGCTCTTGCTTTCGTTGTGAAGAGGAAACTCCACTCTATTTCACCAAAAAACTTGCATTCGAACCGGTGATTTTTTCAATTTTTCCCATTTGATTGAAAACAACTTTGTTTTCGCTTCAAAACTTAGTGACACATTTGTTTCTTAAAATCGCTACTCAAAAAGAAAGCTAGACAGAGACCTGTTTTTCCTTTCATTGAAAAGATAAAACTTCACTCTATTATACCAAGAAAAAAATCATTCAAACCGGTAATTTCTTCAATTTTTCCCATTCGATTGAAAACAACTTTCTGTTCGCTTCGAAACATTCTGACAGTATTTTTTTTAATCACTTCTCAAAAATTAATCTAGACACAGATCTGCACTTGAATTCATTATAAAGAGAAATCCTCACTATTTTTCACAAAAAACTTGTATGGGAATCAGGCTTTTCCTGAAGTTTTGCCATTCGATTGAAAACAACTTTGTGTTCGCTTCGAAACATTATGACACTATTTTTTTTTTAATCACTTCTCAAAAATAAATCTAGACACAGATCTGCACTTGAATTCATTATAAAGAGAAATCCTCACTATTTTTCACAAAAAACTTGTATGGGAATCAGGGTTTTCCTGAAGTTTTGCCATTCGATTGAAAACAACTTTGTGTTCGCTTCGAAACAATCTGACATTAAATTTTTTTAAAATTGTCACTCAAAAACAAATCTGGACACATATCTGCTTATGCTTTGATTATACAGAGAAAGCCTCACTCTTTCTCCCAAAAAAACTTGCATGCGAATAGCTTTTTTCCTCAATTTTTTCAATTTGATTTAAAGCAAACTAAAAAGCTCTTTTTATCGATTTGCAGCGATCTTTTGACCAAAAATTTGCATTTTTAAGCTTGAGTTTTATTTGAAGTTGAACATTTTAGCCCCTTGGGCTTGTTTCAAAAAACTACATTTCTTCAGTTATTTGAAGGTAAAAAGACTGCTCTTGAAGCCAATGTTCCTGCAAACATTTTTTCCCGGTTTCTTGAAATGAAACCTTTAATGAAGCAAAGAAAATACAAGCCAAAAGTTCAACATAACAGTCGCGGATGGGCAAAATGTAAAACCCGCTTTGTTTGCAGTTTAAAATCGCGACTTTTTGCGCTTAATCTCCATAAATGAGGAAAATCATCGGGGAATCTTCTTCACCCCAATGTTAGCTATTATCTAATACTAATGTGTTTGGTTGGATGGAGGCATCGGAAGATTAAAATATCGGGCATTAGACAATTGTTAGGCCTGCAGTTTTTGCGTCTTCGTTATCTGCCGCTTAATTAGAGAGTTGGAGGACAATTCCGGTACTGACTAAGGAAGTTTCATCGCTTCTAACCATTTGAATCCTGCTATCTTATCGGAATTGAATCACCATTGCATAATTTAATCAATTAATTGTTGTTATTAGCAGGAACGCAAGGCGGCATTTTTTTCTTAGGTAAATTTTAATGGCAAGCTAAAAAAATGAAAACAGCGACTTTCAGCTCACCTCATCCCACTTGATGAATTTTTCGCCGTTGATCAGTGCCTGAGGCACCTCGACAGGTTTCACGGAAACCGCGCTACTCAAAGAGGAAACAGTTCCTGCCATTTTCACTGGGAAAGTACCGGAAAACCACGTTCAGCCCAACATTTTGCCTTGGCGCAAAAAATTTGAATCCTGCACCTCACTGAAACAATTGCGCCAACCGACAGGACATGGTGATCCGACTCGCATCCACTGCTGTGTGGATATCAAGCGATATTTTCCGAATTGGAGTCCACGAAAATCACCATGTTCCTCTGCTTTTCGCTGTATGTTCACTCCGGGCTTGTTGCTCTGCTGCTGCTTCCTGAATTAGCAATGTTGCCGCATTCTGCAGCAGGAATTCCCCTTTCGCATTTCCCTCCAACAGTCCATAGAGTGGAGAACGCGGGTTTTTACACGGAATCAATTCGCATGGCAACAACGGATACTTTAAGGATTGCCGCCAACTGCGCGCATGCCGGAACAGGTCCGTGACGTTCCATTGTTTTCGTCTATGAGCGATTTGTAATGGTTTTCTGGCCTCCAATACCCGATTCCCCTATTCAATAATTCATGCTGAAATAGTGTTAAATCGGCGCCGCCTCAAACACTGACCTTAATTATCTAAAACTAGCCTAATAAAAAAAACACCTGTACAAAAAACACTTTATACTAGGCTAGGCTAACTCAATGGCCTAATTAATAAATCCCTATCACTTGAGCCAGCCCGGCGTAAATAGTTAAAGTGAACAGAGCATAGAGCATGGTAAAAGCCCCTTTAACCACCAGCCCCAGGCAGGGGCTGAAGCGTAGGATTTGAAGGAGGGACTCAATCAATAACGGCTTGTAGCAGCTGAGGACTAGAAGAATGGTGACCACAGTCTTTAGATTCTGGTTCAGATTATGTCTGGACCAGAGCCAGACTAAGGTGGCTGTGGCGATGTGTTGGACTAAAAGCACACTTGATTCCAGGCATTTTTGAATGTAAATCCAGTCGAATTCCGCTCCTCGTGCGCCCACCCAGAGCAACAGCGCTCTAGATAGAATCACCTAGCAGAGAGCGTTTTAAGCGATAGGCCATAAGATCAAAAAGACTAATTTACCTCTGCAGTGGCCCACCCAATGCCTGCCGTCAGCACCTTGCTGTGCCCCTTACCGGGAATTCCACTGAGAACAAAGTACAGGCCTACTAAATCGGCCAGGTCCACGGTGTACTTCAAAAACTCCTGCAAAACCCAGTTGCATTAAAATTAAATCGCACGTAGCAACAGTGGAAGTTTACCCCAATGAAGTCGCTGCCAAGGTCCTCAACGTTATCCGGGAAAAATGTGGCCAGCACCATCATTTTGGCCAACTGTGTGAACATGTAGATCATCCCTGCTTGAACGCATTTCCAAAAAGCCCCGTATTCTGACCTGAAATATCGAAAAACTAAACCTGTATCCACTTGCAGCTTTCCAAAGAACTTACAGGCCAGATTGCTTGTAGGCCAGGTAATAGGGAACATATACTAGCGCGACACAATTTCCAAAGTGGTATAAAGTCATTTTCACACTAGTTAGGGCTTTATTAAGGATTTGGGGCCCTAATTGATAAAGTGGGGTTAGAACTGCTGTCAAATTTGAGTTGTTGTTTGAAGGTTGTGCGGACTAGAGATGTAGCAATCCAGAGGCGTAGTCAACGATTCGAAGGCAAGGAAGTTTGGAAGATTTTGCGCATTTGCAAAATCTACATTTTCTTTTTTTGTCTGTATTGCTTTCTCCTGAGAGGAGAAGAAAACCTTACTCGATTTCACAAAGAAACCTGCATTTAAATTGCTTTTTTCCTCAATTTTTGAAATTTGATTGAACAATTTTTTTCTGGTCTGGCAAGAAATTTTCAAAAAATCACCTCTCAAAATTGAAGACAGATATGGGCCTGCTTTGGCCTTCCTTACAGAGGTGAAACCTCACTCTATTTCACAAAAGAACTTTCATTTCAATCGATGATTTCTTCAATTTTTGCCATTTGAATGAAAGCCACTTTGGCATCGAATCCAAACTTTCTGACACAAGTTTCAAAAAGTGGCCACTCAAAAACTAAGCTAGAGGCAGATCTGTTCTAGTTTTCTTTATAAAGGGAAAACGTCACTCTATTTGACAAAAAAACTTTAATTCAAGTTGAGCTTTTTGTGAATAAGTACAAATTAATTTTCGCCATTTGATTTAAAACAACCTTTTCTGCTAGTCGAATCTTGTAAAATTGCCTCTTAAAATTCAAGCCAGTTACTGTTATGCTCGTGCTTTCAGTATAAAGACTTGGATCCCAATCGGCGATTTCTCAATTTTGCCATTTGATTGAAAACAACTTTGTGCTCACTTCAAAATTTTCTGACACTAAAATTTAAAAAAGTCTTTACTCAAAATGTAAGCTAGACACAGACCCGCTCTTGCTTCCATTATAAAGCGAAAAGCTGATTCTTTTCCACAAAAAATTAGCATTCGAATCGCTCTTTCCCTAAATTTTTTCCAGTTGATTTTAAACTACTTTGCCATCACTTCAAAACTTTCTAACACATTTTTTTTTTAAATTGCTACTCAAAAAATTATACTTAAAATAGATTAAAAATTAAGTAAAAAAATTATTAAAACTTGGGTTTTCTCTGCTTAATTAATTAAAAAGTGGCTGTTTTAAAAAGCTCATCAAAAGCACATCTCTATAAGAATTCCCCCGTTTTGGAGCGCTGATATGCCAGTGGCGGCGCGATTTTGCTCTATTGACTAGTTTAATTAAATGTCATTAATCCTGCCAGTGTAGCTTCTGAAAAATAAACAGAATCTCACCCTGTTAGTGAATCGAGCCGCGTTTTTGCCCCTGAATTCACATACTAGAACTACAGGTAAGGCGCCCCAATGCGTGCCAGCTTGGTTAAATTTATCAACTGCGCGTTTGAGCAGTATATTTTTAGACCATGGATGAGAATCCCAATGAGGATAAAAGGTCCGAACACTTCATGGATTTCGACCAACAGGACGTGAAACGGCTCAGAACCGATTTCGAGCATGAGGAAAGCTCAACATCGTCTAGTACTTCGGAAAACGACTCCAGCATCAACTACTGTGGAGATCAATCTGCCAGCACCAGTAGTGATAGTGGTTTACCGCAAAGTAGCACCGTTCCAAGTGTGGAGTCTTCTCACGATACCACACTGTTGCCTGACGAAACTAGTGCGGATGCAACTTACCCAATTGCAAGGTAAATAGTGAAGATTTGCTCCCCTAAATATAATTTTCTTGTAATGAAAACCGTTTGTCTTTGTTACAGTCAAACTCAGGACCAACCCTTACAAGAGCCAGGCAGTCGAGCTTGGGAATCAGATGCGTTCAGCAACTTACAGAGCAGCTCAGAAGACACTATACTAGGCACGGACTCTGAATCGGAAGAAGAAGCCGAAGAGGAAGATGTGCTGAGCAAGGAAAAGCCGAAGCCCACATGGTTCCTAGTCCCTGAAGTCATGAGTAGACAATATGGTGAGCACTCTTAATCTAGCCGGTTAATGGATGAGTCTTTACAAGGAAATCCTCCGCAGGATACACTGCTAAGAAGGCAAATCCTGCCTTGTTTCAACAGCGCTGCTACGGCTCTCTGATGTGTGTTCAAAAGCTGGAACTGATGTATAAACTGGAGGAAAGCGAAGGCTGTGTAAACAGTTTGAATTTTAGTGCAGATGGTAGACTTTTGGCGAGTGGCTCTGATGATCTCAAAGTAAGTGGCTTGCATGTAAAGTCGAGTAATTTCGTTAAAAACTTCTTCGAACCTGGAGGCTAATTAAGCAAAAGCAACGCTAACGAATCCAAAAATTGATTGGGCAAAACAATTCATTTTTCAGGTGGTTTTATGGGACTGGCCGGTGGGAAAATGCCTGCTCAAAATCAACACAAAGCACAAACGGAATATATTCCAAACGAAATTCATCGATCTCAAAGGCCCCGATATACATCTGGCCACAGCAGGCAGAGATGGACATGTGTGGTATTTGCAGGTGCGATGAACTGTTGATGCGGCAGTCGAATATTTCATCCTGGATTGTTTAGATTGGAAATGAAGGCCTGAGGGATAGCAGGAAGTTGGGCCAACATCGCGGCCCCTGTCACAAGCTGTCTGTACTCAAAGACCAACCGCAAGTTCTGCTAAGTGCTGGCGAAGACGGAATTGTATTTAGTTATGATGTTAGGAAGAGCCATCCTGAACGGTTGGTAACTCGGGATTAAATTCCTTAAGCCCTTATAAAACGTTTGTTTTTAGAGTGGTTCATGTAAAGGATAACAGCGGGCGAGAGGTGTCTCTGTACAGCATACACTCTAACCCGTTGAAATCCACGGAGTTCTGCGTAGCTGGCCGCGAAAATTCGGTGAGCGTCAAGAGCTCAAGGGGTTTGTCAGCAGGAAATTAATTTCAAGGCGAGTTTTAGGTGAGAATATTCGATCAAAGGAAAAGTAGCCGACCCATAACGAAGCTGTGCCCTTACAAGTCGTCTGATGAAAAGTTACGTAACGGCTTGCATATTACTTGCGCCGTTTACAATCACGATGGAAGCGAAGTGTTGGCCTCATATAATGACGACGACATCTATCTGTTTGATGTGGACAAAGGCTCCGGGATTTACGCGCACAAGTACTCCGGGCATAGAAATGGGGCCACTATTAAGGCAAGTGTAGTTTCGGGTGAAAAAAACGGGCTATTTTACAGAAACCCTTTGCAGGGAGTGTCATTTTTCGGGCCTCGATCCGAGTTTATAATGAGCGGATCTGATTGCGCTCATGTGTTCTTTTGGGATAAGAAAACTGAGGCAATTACGCAATTTTTACGGGCTGACGATAACGGCGTTGTAAACTGCCTGGAGCCGCACCCTCAACTCCCATTTTTAGCTACCAGCGGGCTGGATTGGGATGTTAAGGTAATGCGCCATTTTTTTTAAACGTCGCCTCAATAGGGTTGTGTGGTTTTAGCTTTGGGTGCCATCATGCGAAGAAGAACCCGCGCTAAGCGATCTGGCTTCAACGATCAAGGAAAACAAGAAGTGTGGATGGGGGAATTTCGAGTCTGGCTCTGAAAGCGAGGTAACCAAAGAAATATTTGTGTGCTTTCGGCTATAAGCTGGGGCTTTATTTTAGGAGTCGAGTGACGATTTGGATTTTGCACTTGGGTTCCCTTTTGGCTGGTAAATTCCGGCATGCTGCAGTAAGTGCTCAAATAACTCGTTATTTACAAGTTTCAAAAACAAATCGTGTACGCCGCCACAGTAAGTTTTTAGCTAAATTTGTTTTTGAAATAACTCGATTTCGTTTTATTTGATTTCTTACATGGCTGCTGCTGAATTTACTTGATTGTTACTAACTTTGTTTTTAAACTTCCATTTAAAGCGGGGCCTCCGCATAATTGAGTAATTTTAAATTTAAATAGTGGACCTTATCAATTTGCATGGTAGGTTTTATGGATGCTTTGGCGCAGACTTAGAGCGGCAAGAAACCGACAACAAGAACCAGACGGAGAGTCGGGATTTGAGTTTCTAACTATAGATTCCAGCGACAGTTCATCGGACTCTCGACGATCGGCCAGCGAACCTGAGGATCTCGATGACCCAGCTGGTTGTACCACGTCTTAGAAACACTAGAGACTTTTTTTGTGTTCACGAGAGTCGTGTTTTAGTTATTATGCGCGCTGTTGTTTGTAAAACCCTGTAATAAATTGAGAGGCGAATCGAAAAGATTTTAACTGGGATTTTTTAGCTCAAATTTAGGCCCTGCTAAACTGAGGCTTAATTCATTTCACCGTTACGAAAGGGAATTTGCAGTAACTTTTCGCAAGCATCTGTAACAAATAGAAAATCAACTTTCCTTCTAGCGCTTTCTATAACAGTATTCGTGTTTGGCTATAAATATTCTAATCGACTGTTACAGGCGTTCGCGTACAAAGTGTATGATTACTGGAATGGAGTCTGTATTGTGATTGTATACATATACGAGTATAAGTACTTTAAGAGTTGTAATTGATGTAGGATATTAAACTTCCTCTATTTTGTTTGTGCTTCGTTTCATTCAGTTTTTGACATAAAAATTTTCCCATTGCAATTTTGTTTTTATTGTACAAAAATTCATTAAAAATTAAAAAGTCAAGTGTTATTAAATTCATTAACATTTCGCATATGCGAAATAAATTGTAAATGAGTAGAACGGTAGCAAAATGCAGATTAATGTTAGTAGACATGCATCGTTTGCAGAATACTGATGTTTTTGGCCAGGCCATGCATCCCCCCTGCTAGTTATTTGCCTGCAAAAAGCAAAATTACTTGAAGCTTTAAAAATAGAGATGTAGCTATTAATATCCAGTAGTTATACAGTCTTGTGGAACAATAAAGGAGTGTTTTCTCTGGGAAGATTTACCTGGCCCAAATCCAGCTTTCTGGATTGAGATTTCGACAACAACCACTTTTCTATAATGATTACTGGCGATTCGAAGGCGAGCACCCAAAACATTGACACAGCTAAGGCCATCATCGTTATGCCCCAGAAAGAATAAGCCTGAAAATGAGTTAAATTGAACTAAATCCGTTGGAAACATCGGAAAAGCACTCACGACATGAAAGAAGGAAAAATAGGCCGGCGTTTTCGATGCGTAAATGATCATATAGAGCATGGTAACATGTAGAAGATATACTGAGTAGGTAAACCTGCTGAGGATTTGAAATATTGGCAACGAGAGCAGTGTGTTGATAATGCCTGAAACAGATTTTAGGTATAGATCTATTGAAAAAATCTGGAGTTGTATGGGAAAATGTTACCTCCGTATCCATTAGAGCAGGCGAACGCAATCCATCCAATACAAACCGCCCAAGTGGGACGCAGCAAAGAGTTGTAAAAAGCGTTTCCGTACTTATTGTAGTATTCCGATCTCAAACTGTCGTGGCCCACGAAAATACAAACGGGAATCAGGGTGAGAACTACCAACCAGATGCCCCATAGCAAGGCCTGAAATGTTTGATATGTTATGCAAATGTTTCTTTTCTTAAGTCATTTAACGCACTTTGTTCATTTTCAACTGATTTTGCAGTTTATCAAACTTCAGTCTTGCAATCAGATAGCCGATAATGGCCCCAACAAACCATGGGCTAGCGCGTGTATGCGTTCTTAGATAGTACAGCTGTTGATATCCGGTTATATCGCTGGAATGTTTTCATCAATTAAATCTCGGAGGCTGTACGTTTCCAACTCACCCATGTAGATTGGTGATGATGGCCGGCAGCTCGTTTGTCCAGGTGATCCAGAATGGGATAATAGTGAAGATTAGCAGAGCGGTACTCAAAAGAATCAACCCCAATCGCGCGTTTTTACTTAAAGTGAGCAAAAATATGGGCGCGCACAAGTACAACTGCCAATCGATGTTCAGGTACCAGGTTTGGCCGATACACTAAAATATAAATAAATATATATGAACAAGATAAATATATCAACAATGAGCCCAAGATAAAACCGGTTTGCACAAAAGTTGACCTAAATGTGCATCGTACAATTTAGATCCTCTAAGTTTCCAGCCAACATTGACTGAAACTGGCGAGTTTTTTGGGATTCTATTCATAAAAGTCCGAAGCGGAATAGTTGCATCCAGTATCTGATCATTTTCGCCTGCATTCTGTGAATTTTTGAAAATCGCCTTTTGTTGAAGTGTACATTAATTTTAAGCCCTCAGTTTTGTAAACGTTTACAGATCTCATTCGCCACCCAATTTCAGTGATATTTTGTCAAAATATGCATTTTAGTTTAGTCTAAAACTCCTTAAAATTTCCGCATTTGTACTCATTTTGGTTTAGGCGGCAAAAATTTCGGATAATTGGCTTCCATTAAGGAAAAATTTCAACTTTGGAGACTCTTGGCTCTGAAACTTTTGAAAGCTTCAGAAGACTCATTTGTTCCTGAATGCAAGTGAAATTTTGAGGAGTCAGAGAAGTGGATTTGCTTAAAGCAAATAAGTAACATCCACTTTCTGAGCATTTTGGTTTGTGTTCTGTGAATTTTTGAAAATTGGTCTTTATTGAAACGCACATTGATCTTAATCACTCAATTTTGGAGGTGGCTGCAGGTCTCATTTGAACCTCAATTTTACTGGTAGTTGACCTTTTCCTTCCTTTTTACTGGTAGAAGACTCATTTGTTACCCGATGAGAGTGAAGAGAAAACAGAAAGTTCAAGTCAAAATGCACTTGAGCTTTTGCTTGAGAATTTGGAAATGTAAACCGCAAATCCAAACGAGTTGAAGCTTCCTGTTTTTCTTTCCATGAAGGATAATGAAGTTGCGAAAGTAATCAGTTGGAAGTTCAAGTTACATAAAGAATAGTGGAATGAAAATGGCAGAATACAACGCAGCTCTTAGTGGGTTTTTCAATAGTAAAATGCTAAGCTGGTTATGAATGAAATACTGTTCTTGAACTTCTCGGTTTTTTGAAAATTTCCCTAATTATCAATTGCAGATTCAACATCTTAATGACATTTTGTCAGGCATCGAAAATTTTAAGTGAGGAAAAAATTGCCCTCATTTAGGAACTGGAATCAAATGGTGTAATTTCTTGCTCGTTTTTTGGTTCAGAACGTAGAAAATCGATTAAAATCTAAGGTTGTTTGGACCTAAAAAGAGTATCTTGAATTCCCAGTTTTGAGTTATGCGCTATTTTCCTAATTCCAGTGCTTGAAAATTCCAAATTAAAGAAAAATTTCTTGAGTTTTTGACGTCTTTTTATTTATTTACTAGTCTTTCGCTGGTTTGTTTTAGGAGTTATTGGCATCAAGATTCCTTTGAAGGACCCAAATTGTCTCTTACGTTTTTCGAAAATTACAAATCTGTGACAACCTGAGCTAAGTTTGACCTAAAAAATGTTTTGCAGTTATTAACACTCATGTTTTGCAGGTTTGCTTCTTTGAGATTTTATTGAGCGACTTGAAGAAAAACAGCTTTCTCTTACTACAGGATTTAAAAATTGCAAATCGGCGAAAAACTTAGCATCGTTTTAAACTTAAGATCTCTTAAGTTTAAAACGACGCTCAGTTTTTCTCCGATTTGCAATTTTCGATGTTTACAATTAAGTGCTCAAATATCTATTTGAGCACTTAATTGTAAACACATTTGTGTTTATTCACTTGTAGCTCTACTCGACTTGAAATTCTGAAACTGTACTTGAAAGAGGAAATATTTGCCTTGATTCTGACTATTATAAGTGTAAAATCGGGCGAATATTGAGCTTGTTTGGGGCTAAGGAGTGTTTTGAATATTCAACTCCGAGTTTTCCTCGATTTTTTTCCCACTTGTAGCTCCGAAACTTTTCGGAATTACTCGCGTTTGGAAAATTAGATGAAAGATCCCACTTTTTCGTATTTAGCTGCTTTCAGAATTTTAAATTGTTGTTAAACGGCGTTGATTTTGACCTAAAGGGTGTTTGGAGTTCTTGGTTTGCCCTTTTGCCGCATTTATTCGCCTCCAGTTTTTTGTTCGTTAGAAATCATTAGCATGATAAACAATCAGTTTACACGGACAGAATCTCTAGTTTACTTGCGCTTTCGAAAATTACCAGTTGGCTAAAATATAACATGAAATGTTTTGAATTTTCCTTAACGACATTTGTCGCATTACTTGCTGGGAACTCTGTAATCTTTATGGATTTATGTCATTCAGATGATTCATTTTAAAAACTGAATCCGTTTTGTGCATTAATTTTTTCATTTAACGAAAGAGTTATCTTGATTCGAACTAAATATTATTTCGAATTTCAAATTGTGAAGTTTTCCGCGCTATTTGCCTGTAGCTTCGCAATCTAAAAAAAGTTATCATATTTTAAAAGCCCATTCCAAAAACAAAAACCCTCTTTTCTATAAGTTTTCCTTAATTTCAAATGTAAATCAAATTGACCTGCACTTGAGCTAAATAGGGGCTAAAACGTTTTAATATTAAGAATTTCCGGGTTTCACTGTCTCGCACTTCATTCATTTAAAAAAACAATTGTATCGTAAACCGCTGTTAAATTTGAGGAGTTATAGAGGGTTGTGTCCTTAAAAAAGGGAAGTGACATCCAGGTTTTGATCATTTTCGATTACACTTTTAAAATTTGTGAAAATTGTTTGTTATTGAAGCGCACATCTATATTAGGAGCTCAATTTTGCAAACGTTTGCAGATCTCATTCGGACTCTAATTTTAGTAACATTCTGTCAAAGTGTGCATTTCAGTTTCGCTTAAACTTCCGCTGTTTTAAGGAACAAAATTTTGGAAAATTGGCTCTGTCTAAGGTACAATTGCAACTTTGGAGACTCAACTGTAGAAAGCTCCACTAAAGTGAACCTCCTGTATTTGTATCTAAATATTCTGCGTTACTTCTTGGTTTTGGTGGAACATCTAATAGAACGCCTAGCGAAAAACAGACAAATATCGATAGCGATAAACAGCGCTTTATATTTTGAAACTGATATGAGAACCGTGGGGTTTTATCTGTATCCTTTTTGACCTAATTGGCTAAAATTCCTTTCGTATCGCGTAGAAAAAGCACCATTAAGGAAACTTTGCCTTGCATTTCAATAAAAACACAATTATCTCCTAAAACACGCTTTACTCACTCACCCATTGATTTACGTTGATGTAATTCTGGAAATAGAGCAAAGCCGACCACCAGCTTTTTTCGCAAAATACTTGAAAATAGTTGACAATAAACGACCAATGCGGACCGGATCCCATGTACTGGAGCAGGGCCATACTGACGAGAATTGCAGCCAGAAATGGGGGCGTTAATCTGAAAACAGTCACTGCAGTAGAACGGTTTAAGCAGCCCTTAAAGCTGCAGATTAATTTGGTACCTTAAATATCGATGGAAGTAGAAAACCAGCAGCTTGAATTTGGTTCCGTTCTCTTTCGCCTTCATGTGGCTGTAGACTACCAACAGCCCAGTTACCATAAGGAAAGTGTCCACTGAATGGACTGCGCTCACGAAAATCATACTTTTGGTACTATCAAGGTACTGGAAAATGCATTTTTGAGCATATTAAAATCAGAATTAATTCAGCAACTAAATCAGTTCATTAAAATCGCAAAATATTGCCGTTTACTGAAAGAGTTTGTCGGTTTTTTGGTACAATCTTCAACTGCCATTTTCAAGCCAAAAGTATGCGAGTTTGAGAGCCAATCTAATAAGAAAATTTGTCGAATTTTGGTTTGTTTGAGTCGGTTTTGTTCCGATTAATTGCAACTTTTGCTGCAAAATACGCCCAAAAGTGTGTTCAGACACTAATAACATCAACAGTTATTTGCATCATTTTCCCTCTTCCAATATTTTGCATTTAGAAAAACTTACCTCTAAAACATCCAAAGCGTTCGATACAGGCCCGGATACTGTAACAGAGACTGAATGACCAGCCAAAACCCAAACCATGCTCAGAACTCGAATGCCATTCAAACACGCCAGCTCAGAAGCATTTCGTTGGGTCTTAAAGAGCTTCTTGCCGTTGGAATAGACGGAAAAAGCCACCAGAATGGCATGCTGTGGCTCTGAGGCAACCCGCATGATTTTATCGTCTAATTGGCCCGATAGTTGCTTAACTTTGTAGCTCTTCCTGCAATGCAGGTCGTAAGCAGTGGAACCTACCATTAGTCCAATAATCACAACGAAAAACCCTCTAAAAAACCAAATTTACTGTTGATTTCTTTGAAGCATGATTGCTGGCTTACATAACACACCACGCTTTGGTGGTAAGCGGCGGATTGGCGTCATCGAAGGTTTGGCACTCAAAAGGTAAGGGGAACGTTAGATTGAAGCTGGCCACAACATGTTGCAAATCTTGCTCATTGCAACCATTAGGCACACAAATACCAAACGATGGATATGAAGCAACCGGGTATTGGTCTTGAAAGCTGTACTTTTTTTGCGCAAAAAGGTTCACCTTGCGCAGAAGAATTTCCTGCAAAGATCCATTGAAAGCAACTGGAAAAACCTGAGGGTTTCTGCGTACGGAAACGGCGCCAAATGCCTCTTCGATATTGATGTACAGGGTGCCCAGGCAGTATTTTCCTTTGATTCGTCGTCTTTCGCTGCTGATTTCCAGGCATTGGTCGAAATCGCCCATCCATCCTCCCAGGTTTAACTTCAGCAGCCCTGCAGGCACTTTAGCACTGGAATCCAGCACTAAAATCAATTTTTTAGCTCAGAACTGTTAAGCAACGGAGCGTGCAGGTTTACACAGAACATTATTTACATATGTTAAAGAGTCTGAAATGCAACTATGAATTAAAAGTGAATGCACCACAGTGGCAACATTTTAATTTGCAAAATTTGCAATCAGGTCGATATAATTTTGTTTTAACGTTTTGCCATCCGCTTGGCAGTCAAATTTTCCAATCAGGAACGCAGCTGGGGTCGGTTGCCTCACTCGCACCCACTTGGGTATAGGAAAGAGGCAAAATGGCCTGCGTGTCGTACGTTCGAAGTTGATACCTTCAGCGCTTGAAATAACTCGGGTTTGAGCGAGAGCAAGTTGGGAAAAATATGTTAACCATTATTTTGAACTATGTATAGTATTGGAAACAAGTGAAAGGTCAGATCAAATATTCAATGACGCAAACTAGTCAATGTTATTCGGGGTTTTAAGGAAATTTCCGCAGAAAATATGGAATAACTGGTTATAATAGGATTTTCTGGTTATTAGGCCTGGACAGGAGTTGGATTCTGATGAGAATGTCAGAATTAAATTTCTTTTGATAAAAAGCGACCAACCGGAAAATCATCTTTAACAATTTAAAAAAAATTTGATTTATTTTTCTCTAAACTTTCTGGGAAGTAAAACTTTGGAAATGCAAATAACACCTGGCAAAATGTTGAGAGTAATAAAAATAAATGTGAAACGTTCCATTAGAGGGATTAGAGATGATTTGCTATAAAAAATCATGCTCGCTTGTTTACCTTCTCAAGTGTGTGTTTTAAAACAGCACGAAAAAGCTGGTTGTTTTGACTTAATTTCAACATAAAAGTAATTTTACTTACTTTTAAATGCCCACATTCCATCATCAGTCACATTGTTCAGATTTTCGAAAAACCAATCAATCTGCAGCGAACACGTTTCACTCACCGCTTTCTGTATTTGTCGTTTGATGGTCGAGTTTTGGATCAAGTAAATCAAATTAAGGCCGTAATCGAAGGGTAAGGAGCTGAGACTGTTCCCGACACCGACTGTTTGTCCCAAACAGTTGCAAAAACAACAAAATCCCAAAATTGACAAAACTAAAATAATATTCGAAGAGGTCATGATCTAGCTGCGATTAGTAAGTGCAATAGACAGATTTTCAATTCGCCGGTCTTTATGTGATTGGGACGAGATGATATTAAGATAAAAGATAAATTTAAGTACACATCTTAATTAGTGAGAGGTTAATAATGATGTTATTGACCCTTTTAAAGGCGCTAAAAATTGTACTACGCTTCTATTGACAACGATTTCTTTCAGGGTCTAGAATTACTTGGAATTTTGAAATTACTCTCACATACCTTTGCCGCATGGTCGAATCCTCTAAAGTTCAACACACATTCAGTATTTTGGAAAAATCCACGCTTACAAACGAATAACTAATAGCGATTAGCAGCCAGTGATTGAACTTGACAAATATAATAATAATCATAACATGCAATTTGTTTATGTTACATTTTATTTAATTAGCTTTTGTGACATCAAATATTAGTATGAACTTGAATAATTGTTATAAAATCGCTTGCCAAATAAAACAGCATGTGTTTTTGCTTGATGAATTGCAGGTTTTTTACTTGGAATAATTCAACTGAACATTGTTTTTTTCACATTAAAAAAACTTTGATTGTAACATTTTAACTTGAAAAATTGACGACTTTTGGGTTATTAGGCCTGTGGTAATGACAATTTGGTGCTAACGTTTCGCTTGCACCCATAACTAACATCTTCAGATACAAGACCTTTTTTCCACATATAGAACTCAATTTGTACTAGAAAACGCAAACAAATTCCTTGGGGATGAGTCAAAATCGATACGTTTTCCACTCATAGAACACACCTTTTCCTACGAAATTTACGCAAAAGTGACTATCTAACAAAAAAAAACTTTTTCTACGTATTACACCTCAAAAAGCTTCCGACAGTGAACTTCTAACTTCACTGGTTTTTGAGAACGAAATTCCTATCGCCACAGGCTTAATTCGCCAATTTTGCCAGTATAAGAAGACCTGCAAATCTACAAGACCGCTCTTATAAAATCCAAAAATATGTAGAAACTCTGCTTGAACTGAATGTTTACAAATAATCTACAATTCATTCACTAGATTATAATCATTTGTCCTTAGACTATTTAGAATGGCCCCGCGTTATAAGAGCGGATATATTAATCGGCTGGTGTGTAATTAACCTTAATGCATTTTTAAACATTGCAGATAATTGAAAATTCAAAAAACCGGGTGCATTTTCCAGCAGCAACTCCACTAAACTACACTTATTTCTCTAATTAGTAAATTGAAATAACAGTGCAGATGGTGTTCTTTGTGGTATCAGAGAAGTCATGCCCTGCTTATCGTTAAACACCCAATACTGTCGCCCATTGATGGTTTTGTTCTTGTATTCCCCATTAGTTAAATTGGGGGGATGAAACAGGGTGTGATAGGAAGGTGGCGGACTCACAAACTGCTTAGAGGCTCTAAAGTTGCCTTGGTGCTGATGGTTTTTCACAAACAGGCCGTTGTTACTCTGAGTGACCAGAGTATTATTGTTGTTAACATGGGATTTTTTGTTGAAACAGTGCATCTTGGCATAATAGATAATCAGCTCAACAGCAAAAATAATTGTGGAAATAATCAGACCGCCACCAACGATCATGTATGTCATTGCAAGGTCCGAATTGCGTAAGCGGCGTTCTTTGCTGCCCAAATCTAATGGGCAAATAGTGGTATCCGGCAAACTCTTCCGTTGTTGGAAATCCGTTATTCCCGACTCACTTAAATGCTGAATTCTGCAAAAAATATCGTGAAAAACACCGTTGTTGGGCCACACATTGTCGAATGCTTACGTGAAGTCAAATAGTTCTTTATACTTGAATCCTGGCCTAAAGGCAAACGCTCTGGGAAATACGCAAACAGCAAATTTCGTTATTACATAAGTGCATCTTTTGGATTCTTCTACATCTGCTTTGGTTTTCACCTTGTAGTCTTCGTACATTATCGATTCCAACACCGTTTTTTCCCTAATGTACATCATATTTTGCTTGATAACGTAGGTGGACAGCATTGTGTCTTCATCGACGTCTGGCTGAAAAACATTGCAGTTTTCATTAAAAATGCGCTGTTTTTTATTGTTTAATGAAATCCATTGCGTGCAGATGTTGACTATTTAACAGTAGCTGGAAAACACTTCAGTTAATCAAAAGTACAAAACATGTAGTTTATATATCGCCCTAATAAATCTCCGTTTTTTTATTGTCGCAAACAACATATTTTAAAACAACCACTAAATGGAGTTGAATTTATTAATATTCCCGTATACACAGGGTGAAAGCAGCTATAGAATTGAGGTTTTGAGTGTTTCCTTGGGAAAACTTTGGTTTCTAATTGTAAAAAACTACAATAAAATCTATTTGCAAACTTGGCGCTATAAAAGCGATTTGCTGCCCAAATCAGTCGCTCCATTTTTGGCGCATAACTCTCAAAATCGGCAAGGGCAAAAAATGAAACTTTCGCCCAGGATTTATAAAAGATTTCTTTGTAAATACAGCGAATTTCACGTAAATTGGGCATCAGATCAGGTTTTTTTGCCGGAATTTTTGGAAAATTCGCGTTGTAATGCAATGTGAGCATTCAACTCTGCCGCTCCATGCCTAAAAATTCAAAACTCTCATTATAGAAACGGCACGGAATTAAAAAATTACCATTTTACTGAGAACACAATTGACTATAAGCGTTCATCATTTTAATCATATTGAATTGCCCGTTGATTTTCTGGAATAAAAAAAATTAATAATAAATATTTTTCTAAAAAAATTCCGTTTAAAAATTCATAATATCCAAAATAGATAAACTCGAGAGATGAAATTATGGAAGTTTATTTATTAGGGAATTTTTCATAAACGACAAAAATTTCGATCAAATCTCACCTCCTGTTGATTTTATACAAAAGTGTAAACTTGGCGTTAAAAAGGAATAAGTAGCCCAAATCAGTCGCTTCATTTTTGGTTCTCATAACTCTCAAAATCGACAAGGGAGAAAAATTAAACTTGCGCTCAGGATTTATGAAAGATTTCTTTCTAACTATAGCAAATTTCACGCAAATTGAACATCAGATCAGATTTGTTTTGAAGAATTTTTGAAAATTTGCGTTCTAAAGCAATGTGAGCAATCAACTCTGCCGCTCCGTGCCTAAAAATTCATAACTTTCAACATAAAAACGGCACTGATTTAAAAATTTACCCGTTTCCTGAGAACACAATTGACTAAGTGTTCATAATTTTAATCATATTGAATTGCCCTGATTTTCTGGAATAAAAAAAATAATAATGAAAAAAAAAATTTCGTCTAAAAATTCATAACATCAAAAATAGATAAACTCGAGAGATGAAATTTTGGTTTAGTTACAAGTGAATTGTTCAGTAATGACCAAATCTCACCTCTTGTTGATTTTATACAAAAGTGTAAACTTGGCGTTAAAAAGGATTAAGCAGCCCAAATCAGACCATTTTTGGTACTCATAACTCTCAAAATCGGCAAGGGAGAAAAATGAAACGTTGAACCCGGATTGAAAAAACCATTTTTTATAAACCTAACAAAATTCAATCAAATCGGGTAACAGGTTTGTTTTGCCCAATTTTCTAAAATTGGCGTTGAAAAGCGATGTGATACTCAACTCTGTCGCTCCGTGCCTAAAAATTTAGAAACGGCAAGAATTTCAAATTTTTTACAAGAGTTTAAAAAATCGCAAGAATTTCGAAATTGTTACAAAATCAGAAAACAAGTATTTATAGTCGACAATTTCAATCTAATTGGACCATCCCTTGATTATCTAGAATTCACCAAAACATTTTTTTTTGCAAAAACACTTCAAACTTCTAAAATCGGAAAGCACGAGATGTGAATTTTTGCGAGTTTAATTACAAAATAATTGTTTATATATGACAACAATTTTGATCAAATCGTTGCGCCGTCTGATTTTACACTAAACTCCAAACTTTGCGTTGAAAATAAACTCTGCCGCTCCTCGTCTAAAAAATTATAACTTCCCAAATTGAAAACCTAAGCCTCTAAAACTTTTGCAGACAATGGCAATAACACAGGATACGTGCCTATAAATGAGGAAAATTTCGGAAAAGTCAGCTGCCAGTTGATTTTATAGAAAATAACAAACTTCACGTTACAAACCGACATGTCCATCAACTTTACCGCTGCCTGTCTAAAAATTCATAACTCCCAAAGTTCTGACGATTAGAGACTGAGCCTTCAGATCTTGATTGACCAAATCCCTGTTGATAGACTTGGGGAATTTTAAATAAATCGAACAAAATGTCGAGTTACGAAAATTTCCCAAACTTGACGGTCAGAATCAAATCTGCCTCTCTCCATCTAAAAACTCATAACTCTCAAAATAAAAACTGATTCATCTGGAACTTCAGCAGTTGATTGAGAATACTATTCTTAATACATGCGCATATTAAATATATTATATATTTAAAAATCTGGAGGCCTGTTGATTTTCTAAAAAAAAATTAAACCTGACATTAACAAGCGATGTGTTACTGAACTCTGCCATTCTCCATAAAAAAATCATAACTCCCAAAGTCAAAAAGTTGGAAAGACGAAATTCTAAATGTGCAGTGAGAAAACACTGGTGTCAAAGTGAAGTCAATGCCATCCAAATACAACATCCAAATAATTTTATGGAAACCTCCAAACTTTACGTTAGAAAGCCTTGTGCGGCCCCGAATCTACAAATGTATAACTCCAAAAATATGAAAGGGCTGGTAGCGAAACTTTAGGCGATTTGTGAAAACTACTGTTGCTAAATCTGCAAATTCTAAAAAATATCTGACCACTTGTTGAAATTTTAGAAACTTCTAAACTTGGTGCAATAAAGTGTGGCACTTAACTCTACAGCTACTCGTTTAAAAATCCACAACTCCCGAAATCGGAACAGCAGAGATATGAAAATTGATGTTATAATTCACAAAACACGCGGATTTAAATGGAAAATAAAAATTTCAATAAAATCGCACATTTAATCGATTTTCCAGGATCATCCAAACTTTCTATTTCATTTACCTCCCATTGTGGCATGCCGATTTCCTCAAACAAACTGTTACCATCACCATTGGCGTACTTCTTGGACAAATAAAGCTGCTCCACAATTCCATTGCCCCGGTTCGTTATCCATTTGTTGTGCTTCCTGCTGATGTCTTTGGGTTCGCTGATTGGTAGCGTGAACTTTGATAGAGTGAGAAAAGCAGTCAAATTGGCCGTGTAAAAGGCTGTGAGGATTGTGATGAAGATCCACCAAGTGGAGAAAAGAATCCTTGATGAATCTACATTGGCCACAAGAAGGAAAATTAGCGGAAATGTTCGGCGTTTGAGCGCGTTTCAGTTCTTCAACTAACCTGTTCGAGGGTTTAAAGTAGAGCCTTGCTTCAATAAAGCCCCATAGACGAACCACATGCAAGAAGGCAAAGAAAACACAATGTCATGATCTTCTTTGCACATTCTGGCTCTGAGCAGGATGGTGAGCCATAGAATAGGCCCCACTCCTAGCAAGGAGATTATTATGAGCGACCAAACTGTTGCTGTGAAAGGTGCTAATAAACCAGAGCCTGCAATAGAAGCCTTAGCAAAAGGTCCCAACTTATGAGTGTTTAATTTGGGTTTCACCTGAAGCGGACTCTTTGGGTCGTTTCATCAGAACCACCCATTGGGCCGTATCCAGACTTCTGGAGTACGAAACCACATCAGTGTACTGTTGAGGCAAAAACGCTACCGCCACATCAATAGTCTGGAAACCAAACCTTAAGGCTCTACTAGAATGTGAGCTACATTGCATTTGCTTACTTCATTGAGCAACATGTTTCTAACTCCACCTTCGCCTCCATTTACTGGTTCGAAAGAATCATGGTCCGGCACAATTACGTTATATTTGAATCCGTACTCGCGTTGGACAATGTTGAGGATTTCAAAAGCTACCCCGGTCCCGATTACGGTGTTATTTACGATTTCGTAGCCGCTTAAAGGGCCATTCTTTGCAAAAAAACACTCTTTGAATAGAAATACAGTCTCGCACTGGCACTCACCTTTAAAGTTGTTACAGTAAGAGTTTCATGCTTGAGTTCTTCCTTTAGATGGGCCAAACGTTGCTTGGAGGCGTTGATCAGATCTGGGTTATTTTATCCAAAGCGGACGATTTATTATCACAAAAAAATGGTTTTATTCCATGCATCTTACATACTTGAAAAATTAATAATTACCTTGATCAACACAAGTGGAGTTAAAACACAAAGTGGCCAAAGTGGTTAGCACAACTTCCATCAATCCCATACTACCTTTTACAAATTTTCCTTGTATTTTCGCCACGTTTAACACGCATTTTCCAAACTCGCCGCCTTAACTCGCGGGCCGCACAACTCTGTTTGAGCAGAAACAGTTATAGGGGAGTTTCGAAACTCTGGCTTCAAGCGCAAAAGTTGGAAAAAGCCTTTGAATGTCGACCCTCTTCGCTATGTGGGCTTTAGGTAAACTTCAAAGCTAAACCAGCAAATAGTGTTGAGTTTTTCTTTAAAAAAAAGTGCCTTGAAAAGTGCTTTTGAAGGTTTATCGGGTAAATTCTGAATATTTTCTTTTGAAAGTTTTTTAGTTGCTCTTTAGTAACGTAATATTTGGGTTTCGATTTTTTAATAGAGTTTCGATAGAAAATTTGGACACAAAAATTGGGTTTGGTTATTGAATTGCAGCTTTATTATTAGCAAATTTATTAGTTATGAATAAAAAATTATCTCTTAAAATCGGACAGATTTCAAGCTGCAGCTTTGGCTTTTTATTGACAAAACCTTGCTTTCGAAATCAGGAAAATTGTAATTATTTTGGATGGTACTTTGATTTTCCACAATCTTCCAAACTTGCAAGTGAACGTGTTTAAAGTGAGGTGCATCGCACTTTGCAAACTCCCAAAGCTGGTAATGGACAGAACTGAAACTTTCGATTTGGTTTGAGAATGTGTCTCGGAGTAAATATAGAAATTTTCAATAAAGTCACGCTTTTGGCGGAGTTTCCAGAAACTTCTAAAATTTGCGTTAAAAACAGTTCCACTCCGTTATGCCGTTCACCGTAGAAAAATTTATAACTCCGAAAATCGGAAAGCCAAAGGTATGAAAAGTTACTAGTCTATTGAGAAGATAATGGTCTATAAATTTAGAAAATTTCAATCAGATCCCGCAGTAGACTGATTTTATTAAATATTTCAAACTTTCGCTAAAAAGGAATGAGCCGATCAACTTTGCTGCTCTCCGCCTAAACCTTTGTAACTCCCAAAACCAGACAGTTAAAGATACAAAACTTTTGAAATGCCTTGAATTGACTATCGGCAACAGCTGTAGAAAAGCTCAATTAAATCCCACTCCGCATTGATTTTCAGACTGTTTCAAACTTTACGCTTAAAAGCAATGAACCGCTATATTTGCCCAAACATTTGTAACTCCCAAAATGGGAAAGCTAAAGATGTAAAACTTTGAAAGTACATTATCCAAACCATTGGCTATAAACGGAAAAAATTGCAACCAAATTCCGTATCTCATTGGTTTTATGGAAATTTTGAAAAGTTACGATTAAAAGTCGCTTTCCACCACTAGCCCGCACTCCATTCAAAAATTCATAACTACCAAAATAGAAAAGCTACAAATGCGAAACTATCGAAATTAATTGCGAAAGAACGTATTTATAAATGCAGAAAGTTTCATTGAAATTTCGCCTCCGTTTGATTTTATACAAAGTTCTAAACTTTACGTTTAAAACCAATGTGACATTCAACTTTGCTGCTCACCGCCTAAAAATTCGTCACTATTAAAAAAAAAACGAGAGCTGTGAAACTTCGGAAGTTCATTGACAAGACTATTGGCCCTCACTATGGAAGATTGCAAACAATTTCCAAATACCATCAATTTTATTGAACCTTCTAAACTTTATGTTAAAAAGCTAGAGGAGCTCAACTTAGTCGCTAACCGTATAAACATTCATAACTCCCAAATTTGGTCGATTTCAACTGTGAAACTTTGGTGGTGCATTAAAATGATAATTTTTTATAGACGAAAAAATTTAAAATAAAATAGCGCTGTCCGTTGATTTTCTACACAATTACAAAACTTTAAGTTCAAAAGCCGCTCTTCACCACTATGACGCACCACACTTAAAACTTGGGTAAATTGTGAATATTTGCTTTTCAAAGGTTTTCAATTGCTCTTTAGCAATGTAATATTTGGGTTTTGATTTTTTAATAGAGTTTCCATAGAAAATCAGGACACAAAAATGGCGTTTGCTTATGACTTGCAGCTAGCATTAGGCATTTATTAGTTAAACATAAAAAATTCATAACTCGTAAAATCATACAGATTTCAAGCTGCAGCTTTGGCCTTTTATTTAGAAAATCTTGCTTTCCTACTCAGGAAAATTGTAATCACTTCGGATGGTCCTTTGATTTTCTGCAATCTTCCCAACTTGCAAGTGAACGTGTTTAAAGTGAGGTGCATCGCAACTTTGCAGCTTTGTGTCGCAAAATTTCCAACTCCCAAAGCTGGTAATGGAAAGAACTGAAACTCTCGTTTTGGTTTGAGAATGTCTCTCGGAGTTAATCTAGAAATTTTCAATAAAGTCGGGCTTTTGACGGAGTTTCCAGAAACTTCTAAAATTGGCGTTAAAAACAGTTCCACTTCCCTTCTATAACTCCGAAATTCGGAAAGCTAAAGATATGAAAAGTTACAAGTCTATTGACAAGATAATGATCTATAAATTTAGAAAATTTGAATCACATCCCGCAGTAGAATGATTTTATTAAAAATTTAAAACTTTACGTTAAAAAGGAATAAGCCGATCAAATTTGCTGCTCTCCGCCTAAACCTTCGTCCCAAAATTAGGAAGTTAAAGATACAAAACTTATGAAGTGCCGTGAATTGACTATTGGCAACAGACCAAAAATTGCACACTTCAATACAAAAAGTCCGATTCTTTGATTCCATTCAGTGTGTACACACCCATTCCTATTATTCAAATGTTTATAGATGACGAAATTTTCAATAAGCTGCCGGTTTCAGTTCATTTTATAAGTAATTACAAACTTTACTTCTGTGCAGCTCTCCGCCCAAAAATTTATAACTCCAAAAATGGGCAAGCCAAAGATGTAAAACTTTGAAACTGGATTAACAAAACCATTGGCTATGCTATAAATAGGACAAATTGCAACCAAATCCGGTCACTCATTGGTTTTATAGAAATTTTTAAACTTTATGTTTAAAAGTCGCTCTCCACCACTCGCCCGCACTCTGTTCAAAAATTTATAACTACCAAAATAGGAAAGCTACTAACGTGAAACTCTAGATCCTAATTGCGGAAGAACGTCTTTACAAATGCCAAAAGTTTCAATGAAATTATGCGACCTTTTAATTTTATACAAAGTTCCAAACTTTACGTTTAAAAGCAATGTGACATTCAAGTTCCTCAATTTTATTGAAAATTTCAAACTTTACGTTAAAAAGCTAGGGGACCGCTTCAACTGTGAAACTTTAGTGGTGCATTAACATGATAAATTTTTTAGACGAAAAAATTTCCAATGAAATAGCGCAGTCGTTGATTTTCTACAAAATCACAAAACTTCACGTTCAAACGCCGCCACTATGACGCACCCCGCTTAAAACTTCATAACTCAGATATTTGAAATATACTGATTTTAAATACATGAAATTGGTCATTCTCTGAATCCCCTACAAAGTCTGATCCAAACTTATAAATCCCTGTACAAAATCCCATTTTATATCAATTGATTTAATGGGGTCAAAAGGCTACCACCTGCCCCTGTATATGACACAAAACGGTCTCTAATTTACTTGGCGTTAGCCGACCTTCATTCTACTATTTGCCCATCATTACCAACACACAACTTTTATGTTTATTGTCGACGTTCAAACAAAGAAATATTATTTTATCTGTTATTCCTTCGTTTAAACCGGTTAAAAATGGATCTATCAAATGGAAATAACGACCTCGATATGCATGCAAGGACTGTTCAGTTAAACAATCGATTATTTGATTTAAACATTGCTAACTGGTGTGATGGTTTAATTAGGCAATAATAATTTTACATCTTAAATGCGTACGAAATTAAATCGTGAAAACAAAGCAATATAATAATTACAGTAATTTGGACTGGAAAATCCGATTTGCGTTGGATGTAATGTCGGCTTTTACGTAATGGGGGGAAAATGGAAAAACGCCATGCCCATTAATGACTAAATCTTGTTTTTTTCGGTTAGTTAATTAGCGGTCTTTCTCGATAGGAATCTGCTGTGTGAGGCATTTTTAAATGAATTGATTCGATTTATTTAGCCATAAAAATATGTAATTTTCTAAACTGTTGTGGTTGAATGTTACCCTAAAATACCTGCAATATAAAATTGTTACATTTTACAGGCATTTTAATACTTCGATTCGTTACATACTCGGGATATTAGCCAAAGTCTCAATACCTCCTTCTACAACATGTGCAATACCAGATGGAGACAACACTTGCTCCCAGTGGGTGACGTTGAACAAATTGCTGCTAATAGTTCCGTTCGTAAACCCAAACAGATCGCGAAGATTCCCCAGCAAAACGTCTGTTCGTTCAGCTCCTCCTGGATTCACATATAAAACTCAATCCCTCATTTTTTTCTAAGCATTCACTTACTCAACAGCCCACGAAGAAAAACCCTCCATACATCCCGAAGCATTGGCAAGTTGCTGAATAATTCTGGAAGCCCATGAGCTCTGGATAAGAAATATCCAGCCAAGCGGGCAAAGTAAGTCAAAATGGGCCAATCTACAGAGACCTCGTAGAATGAGTTCAAGTCCAAAGCAGCTGAACCGTTCAATGCAGGCAAATTCGGATTATTCAACGTGGAGTTATCCGGACTCTCTGGGTTAGAGCTATTGGAACCTCCACTGCCGGTCTGTTGAAGAATCAACTGCTTGACAGATGGAGGAATAAGTGAGAAGATCACTTTCAGCTCGTTGGTGTTGTTCAACCATCTGGTAACTGAAAAAGCATAACTGAAACTGCCCGGATATGGCTGGAAATGGGGCTTACTTGAAATCAGCTCCAGCTCAAACACGCTTATACAAGTGGAGGAGTTCGAGGCTCTAGTTTTAAGCCCTTTATGGTGCTTCTGATGGTGTTTAACACTTCCATGGGAATGATGTGACTGGCGATGAAGATCCTTTATATGCGGTCTGGTTTCTGCAGCAGATGGCGATAAAAATCAGCCACAAAAGTAAGCTTTAACTCACCATCTATGGACCCAGCTTGGATTATTCCCAAGAAGACCATCCAGAACACCAAAACACTCAGAAACACCCAAGAAGGATTCATAATGACTCTTCCTATCTCGTGGGCAGTCGAACGCTTTTATAAGGTCAGAAGGTATACAAAATATGCCAAGAGCGTCCCGAAAAACAGATAAAAATGCAAATTCGAATAATTACACAGAAAAACACTGGCATGTTGCATGAGTAAGTGAATAGTTTGCATAGCTTGCTTTATTAATAAGGACGTTTTCTGCTATCGGCCTCGTAAATCATCCTATTAGTCGCTTGCATGGAAAGTTACTCAACTGATGACAGGATAAAAATTGACAATTTTTCAAAGATCTTGCAACTTTGCAACCTATGAATTCCATGGAACTTTCTAAACTGCTTTTGAAATTTTGGAAGTTGCCAAAACAAGCTGTAACATTTAGCAATCTGCCCTCGTAAATGGCAAAAGAGCGACAAAGCCAGATATTTCCGATATGTTGCGCTCTCTCTGGCCCACGGCGACAGCTCCCAGGTAATTCGTTTGCTGCCTACCAGGTGCGTTCGATCAGTAACAACTCACTGAACACACAAGGAAGGAAGCAGGTGTGTACACACTGAAGAAAATCCAGTCAAACGATATTTTTTTTGTAATAAATTGTGTATTGACTGTAGACTTTATTTCCTCTTAAATTCACCAGTTTGACTTCAATGGACTATATTCCTCCCTTTGTTGAAGATTTATGAGGCTTCTGAGAAAGTGATGATTGGGAGCAATCTGGGAGATTAATTACAGACCTTTAGAGTTATTTTGAAACGATTGAGCGTGTGAATAAAACAACCAAATAAAACAAAATTAAATACCCATTTATTATCAACAATCGAAGAACTTCAAATAGTACATAAATTATTTAAAACCACATTGCGATAAGCCGAACGCTTTATACCGTACACGTTTCACATTTGTAAAGAATTTAAAACAGACGATTTGGTATTGTTGTTATTGTAGAAATAGAGTTATTAAAAATTAAACAACGGAAATTCAACAGAGTCCTATAAAATACATCTTTTAAGGCTTATTATAGTTTTGTAACCCTAATAACATCAAGTATGTCGGCGGCGCTTCACTTCCCAACCTATTTTGGTGTTGCAGAAAATATTCTTTTACATAAGTGAAACACCCAACCGATGCTGTAGTAAACATTTGCACTTTTAATCCTACTTTTGCTAGTTAAAATTTGATTTTATACCTCTAGTTTAGGATGACTTAACTCTGTAACCAAAAACTCCTCATTATCTGCACCTTGAGAGAAAACATCTACGGTGTAAATTATGTATAAAAACTAAAAATGCGAAAGGCACATTTATAGTTTAGACTTACACAGGGTGAGACAGAAAAGCCAAAAATTTACTGCCCCATCCTGTATATGCGTAATTATTTAGCTACAGTTTTGAGTTCTACTCGATATTTAGTAGAGGAGACAACAGCGGCATAATCAATAGCAAACAAGTGAAATTTTGTCTTTTGCTTTTGCCCCTGCCAATCAGATATTTTTAAACATAATTCTTCCAGACTAAGTCTTCGTGATTGTTCAAGTTTTGATACATTCATCCGTATGAAACGTTCCGGTTTCTAATCTAATCAGTGCAACTAAGTTGACGGTGTTTATGAATAAAAAAAGGTAGTTGTTTAAGTCGAAATTGGCTAAACACTGTAAATTGTTTCCCGATAAGGGAGCTTTTTCGTTGGCAGTTTACATGCCATCGGGCTTCGGTATATTGGTGTCATAAGCTCTGATAATGTCCGTTTGAGAAACAGCGCCACCCTCTTCTTGGGAAAATGCAAAGCCATCTAATTTAACAAAAAATATATACATAGTGAATGAACAACACATTAATAAAATAGAAGACTGATTTGATCTCAAGATGTGCTAATCTCAGGCACCCCCAGGACCGGTTTCGAGCTTATGAGCTCCCATCAGTTGGGTTTAGCCTGAAACTAACGCCACTGGAATGTTTTTCAGATTAATTTGCATATACCACCTTGAATCTCAGGAATATTTGTAAAAATTTACATAAGGGTGTTGTAGGAAAAGTATGCACGCATTCGATTCCTTATTAGAAACTTTGCATTAAAAAAAATCCCGAAACCACAAGTGACTCAATAACGCTGAAGTCTAGAGCGAAAAGCGAAAAGTAAACAAATTCCTTAATGACATCGCAGGCTTTTTCCCAGTGAACTTGCGATAAACATGACGTGAAAAAATAATCTAGAATAAGCAACACTTAAAGAAAAATCAATTTTTCTCATTAATAATGCAGCTGGAAGGATAAACTGGATGGAAAAACAAATATTTCGTCTAGAGGTGTCCGCGCTAGAACATACGTTTTAGGATAATGAGATAAATTATAAAACCATTAGGAAACCATTTTCCGAGTAATCGTTGGCCGAATGGGAAATTATTTATGGAAAATCGGAAAAATGAAGCTTTGCGCGGTAATGGAGGCCTGATAAAGACATTAGTTAGATACTTTTATATACAACAATTTACAACGAGCTTTATATACAAGCACTAAAAGTAATGAGCATTAAAACATCAAAGTATAAACAGTTATTCAATTTTTTGAATTAAATGAGGATGTTTTTATAAAAAATTCATAACACAACCAAATGCGAAAGTTCAAACTGTGAAACTTTGGGAGCTCATTGCGAAGACATTTGGTTATAAATGTAGAAAATTTCATTCAACTCCCATTATCGGTTCATTTGATAGAAAAATTCCAAATTTTGTGTTATAAAGTAATGGCCCGGTCTAAAAAAAATAATTACTCCCAAAATAGGAAAGCTCGACATGTGAAACTTTGAGAGTCCATTGGGAACAAAATTGGTTATAAACGCTAAAAATTTCAGTCAAATCCGATAATAGGTTGATTTTATCGAAAATTCTAAACTACTATAAGAAGCAATGTGCTACTCAACTGCGCAGCTCTCCCTCTAAAAAGGGACAAATCCCAACCAAAAAAGCAAAGCTTGAGACTTGAAATCTTGGGAGTCCATTGAGAAGACCATTGGTTATAGATGCAAAAAAATTCAATTGAATCCCAAAATTGGTTGATTTTATAAAATATTCGAAACTACGTGTACTACTCAACTCCGCCGTTCTCCATCTACAATCTTATAACTCGCAAAGTAGCAAAGAGACAGGAACTGAACCTGTAGACGGTTACTGACTAGACAATAGTTTTCAAACCTTCAATCAAATCCCGTTGTCCCTTGATTTTATGCGAAATCCCAAACTGTGCGTTATTTTTGCTTCTGCAGTCCTTCGTCGAAAATTTCTTAACTCCCAAAATAGGAAAGCTCAACACTTAAAACTTTGCTAGATGATTGACCAGAGATTTGGCTAAATACGTAAAAAATTTCAGGGAAATCCCATAACTGGTTTAGTTTATAAAAATTCCCAAAATACGATGAAAAGCAATGTGGCACTCAACCACGCCGCTCTTCCTATAAAAATTTTAAATAATTTATAAATAAAAAAAACTCCCCTAATAGAAAAATTAGAGCTTTAAAACTTAAGCAGTTCATTGACAAGACACACGTTTAGAAATGAGGAAACTTCCAATCAAATCCCACGGTCAGTTGATTTTATTCGAAGTTCTAAACTTTAATTTTGAAAAAGCACAACTAAATTCTACCGTTCTCAGGGAAAACGGCAAAAACGCCAGGGATGTGAAACTCTAACAGTTCAGTGAGAAGACTCATATTTAAAAACGTGAAAACTAACAACGAAATCCTTCTGTTTCTTGATTTTATGAAAAAAACTGCCACTCAACTCTGTCGCTCTCCGTCTAAAAACTCCCAAAGAGGACAGCTATCACAGACCGCACATAACGACAGGAACAATTAACAAAATATGTTTCTGTGCAAAAATGTTTGTTTTTTTGCAACTAGAAGATACTAAAAAGCTTCTATGAAATATGTGTAGGAACTTTGGATCGCTTTGGAAAGGTGAGCATTTTAATACGTAGAATCATGTCTAAACGTGCAGTGTTATCGGTTAAAATGACAAAGATGCTTCAAGCTGGGTTAGTAACTTTTCGGGAAATAATCGGGCAATTTGAATTTTTTTATCGTCATCAGCATGTTCCAACTGAACGGAAAGATTGAATACTCACGATCCATTTCGACGTCCTGTTCGATCCTCGGCGTCCTCCGAAAGAAGACGTTCTTGAGCAGCCGAGCGGTCTCAGATAGTCTGCAAGAACCATTCTGATCGAACTACTCCATGGATCATCAAATTACACTTATTTCTCATCAGTTAGCATGAGATGCTGGATCGGTTAGTCAGTACGGATTGATACGTGAAAGGACGTGCTCATGCAAACGTTATGATCCAAAGGAACAAGCTCTACACACATGGCTCCTATTCTAACAGATTAAAGCGCTCAAGCACTACCAACACATTAACCACGCACTAAAATTGCTTCAAATGCGTCCTTCATCGGCAAAGCTTTTCAAAGAGCTTCTGGTGATATTTACATGAAATAATTCTACTCTAGTAGAGCTGGAAAATGAATGAAAGCCAATGGTTCTTTAGAACTCACAAAATTGCCAAGACTTTGGATTTACATTAGAGTCAGTTATACATGAATCTGTCGGTTTGGGCAGCAGTTAGACGGTTAATCCAGCCATGAACAAAGTTAAAGTAAATCTACGGTCTGATCAAGATACTTACATATGGCAAACTGCTCCAACGCATGCATAGGTCTTGCAAACAAAACAAATTATTACACTAAGACAACATGATGTATAATAGTAAAGGGTTTATTGAATAATCCGCATTTTTCCACAGCGATTTCTAGGCAAAACATTTAACTTTGTGGAGAAATCTGGATCATTCCCATGCTAAACATCTACTAACATGATTGATTAATTAAGAAACCTTCCATGCAACTGCACTGAAAAGACGACAAAAATACGTATAAAATGATACAGTTTGGTGGAAATGTTTCAAACAGTGACAGCCCTACTCAACTCTTAATTATTAAAGTAAAACAACCAGCTTTTAGAGTTGAAAGCGCCGCTGCTTCAAGTGTTTAAAGACCATCAATATCTTCGGATCAAAACAAATAGGTTAATTGGTAAAAACACAAATTTGTTAATTTTTAGTAACAGTGGAACAAATCCTCTAGTTTCAATAGAGTTAATTAGAGATGATTTAAAAATTCAAAATTACGAAAATTGTTGCATTTTCCGACATCAACGACTCTTTAAGCGATCCCCGAGGCTTTTGGAATAATGAAAATTACTTGGAAGCCCTAGATTTGGTCCCTCTAGTTATTGTTCAATTGTGCTACTGGTTGCCTTATCTAAGTCCTATATCTATCTAACAAACAAGAGTTCCATTCAGTTCGGCCAGAATAGAGCCCGACTTGGCACAAAGCGATTATGCTTCTTCGCCGTCCACTTTTCGATGTTGCACCACAATGGTCTGAGGCGTTATGGCTTTATTCCGCTTATGCTTCCAGAACTTTAATTTGCTGTTAGAGAAAAACACACATTTGTCCGGGACATTTCATTCGTTTAACTAAAGTGAAAACCAAAATCCAAACACAAATACACAATGCACAAATCGTGGGGCAAAAAACGACAACTTTAGAGTGTAAACTAAAGTTTTTCGATGAAATTTATGGACGATTTGAACATTATGTAGAAGAAACGCCGGACTTGCACCGTTAGGTTAATTTTGGGACTTGTACGTCACAGTGTTTTACCTAAAGCGCCACAATGCGTGCTCTAAAAAAAGCGTTTTTTTTCAAGTAACTAGAAAACAGAAGCCTGAAACCACGATGCCAAAACAACAATCAATGAAAGGAACATGAACCAATCAGCAACCTGATGGAAACTACACTAACCCTGTGGCGATTTGCTTAAACACGCGAAATTTGGAAATGTTAGTGTAATGTTCCATGTCTAAACCTATTGATCTAGTGCACAGAAACGGGTAATACTTACGAATTTTTTGAGTCGCCCCGATACACTTCCGGGTCCCGCTTCCGGATTTCGCTCTCCCTAACCACATCGGTAAGCGTTTTATATGCTGTACTTTGCACTCTGTTGAAGACGATATTGAAAAAGCATTACATAATGCAGCAAAGAGATTAATTGCAATTTGCAAACTCACATTTTCACTACACAATCCGGAATAATTGTGATCACAGGAATGAGGAACAGGCCCATCCAGAACACGGCACTGCTAAAGATCATAATATACATGCCGCACATTACGCTACCAATGGGAATAGTTGGCCAGAACAAACTGAAAAAGGGTCCAAAATCAAACAATTTCCTCCCTGACTCTACAACTTACCTGTATATTATCACGAAAACAAACCATAGAACTATTGAGCCCCAAATGGCGCAATGTGTAGGCCACGGCCAAGAGTTCGTTACTAAACCAGCCTTCAAACACACTGTCACTACTACATACTAAAAACCAACTAGTTAAAGCGGAAAAACTGCACAATCCCCAGCCTTACTGTATAAACTGCATTTCCTATCACCAAGTAGCCGCCTTCTTTGCCATTGATCCACAAAACATCGTGCTGAGTGGCCAATACGGGCAGCCAAAACAACAGAGCAGAATGCACCAAAGAGTTGATAATCCACATCCAAAACACCTTGATGTTGAAGAGTTCGCCGCTTTGGGACGGCTTGTACAACTGGGGGTAGCTGATCATTTTTTCCGCGCTGCAACTCTTATCGAACAATCCCATAGCCAGTGGTGGCAAGGCGGTGAAAAGCACATTGTACAACCCTGCAAAACTCTTTCAAAATCCCGCAAGTAAACCGAGGAGCTTCGTTACCTATTGACCATCTTTCGAAGAGAATTTGCCCGGACCAGCCCGAGTAGATCGCGAACCACAACTCAATAACATAGAGGCAAATGTTTTTGTAGAAACTGTATAAAATCAACTTGCACATTCTGGAGTAGTTCCATGCGCCATGCACCAACAACAGCCTGCAAATGAGCAAAAAGTTCTCTTCATCGAGCCCTGAAACGTATAAACTGATTCACCCAGAAAATATTCCCTCACCTTAGTAGAAACCGGAACTGGCCTATACTGTAATCACTTGCACATGCAGCCTGCAGGCCTTCAACCCCGGATATTCCAACTCCTACATGAGCCTTCTGGATCATGGCCACATCATTAGCGCCATCTCCAATAGCCAACGTAATGGATTTTGTGTATTTTGTAACGTATTCGACTACTTCGGCTTTTTGCATCGGCGAAACCCGACAGCAAACAACCACCTGGTCAAAAATCCCGATTAGTTGGGGTAAAACACTTAAAACATCCCTTTACCTTGCAAGAAACACACAGCCGAAGAAACTCAGTTCTTAACTCACAAGTGAGTGCATACTTCAAAGTTTTCCCGTCAATAATCAGGGCGATTTCGTTTGGTTTCTCCAAGTTCTCCCCCAGTTCATCACAGTGGCGCAAAATAGCCTCCCTGACATTCTGCAGGCAACAGTGTGGCAAATTAACCAACATTTAATGGAAAAAACCCGACTTACATCCAGGCCATCTTCATTGAGAATAATCACTTGCATTCCTTGCGATATCAGCCGGCAGGAGTAGCCGATATTGATGGCTGTTTCCTGCTTATCCCCCGTTAAAACCCAAATGTTGATGTCGGCCTTTAAGAGGGTGGCTATGGTTTCAGGAACGCCCTCTTGCAGCTTATCTTCAATGGCGGTGGCCCCAATCAGCTTCAGCTTCCTTTCAATCAGGTTTGCTGCCTCGTCGATTTTTTCTAAAACCCGCTAAAGTGAAGCTTTGCATAATTAGCGGATGAGAACCGACCTTCTCTGTGCTGGATGCTGCAGCACGCTTTATGGTACATTTGTTTCCAGTCTTCGTAGTCGCTTTCCTTCAGCTCTACCACTGCACAGCAAAGGGTGCGCAAACCTTCAGTGGCAAAAGTTTCCAAATGCTGCAATAGCAACTCTCTGTACTCTCTGGATGAGGCGTTGTTATCTAATCTACAAACAGCCGAAAAAGTCAGGGAATTTTCCAAAACTTCCATCGCCAACCTTTCATATATCACAGTATCAGCTCCTTTGCAAAACAACTTAATTTTTCCTTGCGGGTCCCTTACGATAACCGACATCCGCTTGCGGGCTGAAGTAAATTCTAGCACTGTCAGCACTTCGTATCTGAAATTGTTCCATAAAATTCCCTCAAAGGAGATTTTGCCCAAGGCTCAAATACCTTTCGATTTGGCCCAAGGCGGTGATGTCCACATAGTCAGGAGTTCGGCTTTTGAAAACGTATCCGAACTTAGCAGCTCCATAAACGAGCGCTCGTTCGTCTGGAGATGCTGCATGATATACCATGGAACCATCAGGCATTTGCTCTGGGATTACCGTATGGCATACGGACAGAAGCACCAAAAGGTCCTTGATCATCTCAGAGTTCTTATGTTTTTCTTTAAGATGCTACGAAGAAACGATAAGTTGGTTACGATTTTTTCTGAGTTCCACCAAAAGCTTCAACTGATTGTGCAGAAACAGGCTTCAGAAGCGGATGGTGTAAAAATGAAAAACCGCCCAAAAAAAAACTAACTCTTTCTGGTGCTACCAGTGTCTAAAAACCCGTTAAATGGAGCTTCCGTTGTAAAGTGCTCGAACCGATTTTCCGATATCGCAACTGGTTGTTCAGAAGCGGAAGATGTAAAAATGAAAAACCGTGCAAAAAAACTGCAAAGTTGAAAAATTAATTCTGATCCTAACAGTGTCTTGACTTTAGTCTCATTCAAACCACGCATAAAATAAAGCTTCCGTTTTCTAATGCTGAAGATCGCATTCCAATACCTCAACTGATTGTTCAGATATCGGAGCAAATCTCATCCAATGCGTGGAAATAAAACCCACACTTGGACTTACCTGGAAAAGTACTGAATTTTCCGGTGTTTCGGCTGTTCTGTAAACCTCATGGCCTACAGCGCATCTCTTAAACTCCATAATGTTTCTGGTCAGGGTGCCAGTTTTATCGGAAAATATGTACTTAACTTGCCCCAGTTCCTCGTTCAAATTCGAGGTTCTTGCCATCGCTGGAGTGTCGGTTTCTGCGTGATACATTTCGCGGTCCATGTTGATAAAAATAGCCTAAAATCGCAAAACTTGCCTTTTTTCCATTACCAAAACCCGCGGCTAACACCAACCTGTATAAAACGTACCACTTCCAAAGTAACTTGCAGGGAAATGGGGATGAGGTTGTTAAATAGAATCAAAAACGTTAGAAAAGTGTACAAAAAGTTCTCAGTTTCTGCAAAAAGGACGAATAAACTCGCTTAATTTAAAAGCGAACCATTAATTTGAATTCTGGTTACCTTTCAGCCCAATGTAAGAGTGGCTGTCGCCGTTGGCACGTGTCCAAATCACATTAAAAACGGTACAAAGCAGGCACATGACAAAAAGAAGCCCAAACAACAGCAGTATCTGAATGTTGGTCATTTTATCGATGCTGGAACGCTTCAAAGGGGCTTTTGTGGAATTGCGCATCAATTTCGTTTCGTGCCCCGTATAAATCACCAGGCCAAAAACCCAGGACGTGTTCCTTAACATGGCTCCTCTTAGGAGAATCTGATCAGGGCCTATCGGCTCCTGGCTATAAACAACAGTTGCGTAATAAAAAATCTTCTGGTCACTAACAGATGAGTCTCCTACTGTTTGTTGTAGTCCTTGAACACGCCGTTAAACTCGTACAGGTGCCTATTAGGAGGCTCGCACTCCAAAGTACCATTCAGCCTCCTAAAACTCGCCAGATCATGTGTGGTGGTCAATTTGGCAGTACTGGGCAGAGCTTGGCGAATTTTCAGATTAGTTTCACCATCTAGATTAGCAGTCTCGATGAAACTCATACTCTGAGGCTCACTGGAAGTGCCCTGATTAGCAAAAGGAAAACAGCCCAACTAATCAACTACCTGGACGCCAGAAGAACGAGATCGGCAGGGAAGAAGTTGTTGTTTGCCACCTTGACTATATCGCCCACTACTACGTCCTTCCATCGGATGCTGATCCAGGTCTCGTCCCTCAGAACCTCGACTTTGCGATGATTGGTTTCGTCGTCAGCTCGATGTCTTTTCTAATCAAAGTGATTTATTTATAAACCATCTTTTCTTACAAAGTCCTTCACATTTGCTTGTTCCCTTTTGGGTTAAAGTCGTCAATTATTAAGCGATTGCTGCTAAGAACCTTAGAAGTATGAAGAGGGCAGAAAAACTGCCAAAGAATCGAACAATAAACAGAGGAAATGAAGAAAAGTTGGGGTTAAGCGGAAACTTACTATATCTTCTATGATTTCCTTGATGGCAGAAACGGACAGAATGAAGATGAGAGGCACTAAAGTGGTGTATCTGCCAGTCGGAGAGACGTCGGGAATTTGTTGCAGCAGGGCGATCATCAGGAAAAAAATGTTGGCCCATCGTCGGAATTGTTCAAAAAGGAACAACGGCACAAATCTTATAACACTGAAAGAACCCAAGAAATCTTGCGGATAAATGACCAAGCCTCAAAAGAATCTTACCTATATTTGGCGGTGGAAATCCTGTTATTGCAGAATTTAATCAAGGGAGGATAATCCCGGCCGATGGGGATCACTCGATGTTCCTGCCCTTCCAGGGTGTCTCCACTCGTTTCAGTTTCACGATCAACAGCCGATGGCGCAGCCCCATCTTCTTCGTCTGCAACAAATCATTTCCATCCTGAGTACGATCCAAGCCTAGTCAAAATTTGGCAACTATTGTCATTATTGTAGTCACAAATATTTTATTGTCAGTGATTTGCAGATGCAACTTCAGAAGAGTTAGAGGTACTTTTGATGTTCGGCTCTCCAAACATTTGGACCAAATGTTTAGCAAACAATGCAGGTGAAACACACGAAAAACCATGTGTATTTTTATTTTGATTAAACTGACGAAAAAACTGCACAGAAATAAAACATTGTTAAATATCTAAACTGCTCAACAAAACGGACGAATTGCGACTAGTCTTGGAACTGGATTGATCGAAACGATTTGCTTTCTGGTTGAAGCGTTATTTAGTGCTTTTTTTCTTTTCTGATTTATTTCTTTTTTGGTTTTGGCCATTGGTGCAAGTTCCACAAAAGACAATTTTTCCGCTTCGAGCCATTTGGTTTATCTTCAAACTTTTGGTAATGAGATCCAAAGAACTTCATTTTTGTCCAACTAGGAGCATGTGGAATTTTGCAAAATTTGATTGTTTTCATTTGCCCCCCCGTTTATCTGCGATGCTCAATTTTTATTAAAATTCTGCCTAACAAAAAACAAATGGAGCCAGATAACGCTTCAAATAAAAACCAAATCGCTCGAAACAATCAGAATGTTTGCACTTCTAAAGTTAGGGCAACTTTGGCTGTGGCAACTTAATCGTTCATTGGTTGAACAGCTTAATATAAAGCTCAGACCCTAAAAGGGATTCAATTATTGAAAATTAGGACAAATTAATAATTCAAAAAAATAATCAAAAAGGGAAAAGCTGCAAGAAAGTAAATGAAAAAATGTCCAATTTGTTGGCTATTTTTAGTGTTGTAGATGGATAAAGCTGTGGGAAGGGCACAGATCGATTGCCGTTTCATTATTCAATGCAAAGGTTTTTATTGCCACACGCGCCATGTATGATTCGATGGATAATTAATCGAAGGAATTAGAGTGTTGGCTAACAGCAGTTAAATTTTTTTAAAGCAAATTTTACCGTAATATTTGCCCAAAAACTGTTAATAAATCGTTGCTCAATATAAATAAATGGCAAATATCCCTGAAAATAAATTGCTTTATTAGCGCAGCAACGTAATCACAGCTTATTGGTGAATAACTGTGAAGCGTTAAACAGCAATTAGATTTTTGCAACTGCTAAGTCTAAAAGTTTAGTCGGTTAATTTACGACACTTTCTATGAATTGCACTGAAATAACAGTCTGTTATTACCAGAAATTTGTTTGTGAATTTTTATGTTTCTTCCACCATAGTTAATGTACATTTTTAACGAAAATCTGTCGTTATTTGGACACTAAAAAGTCACAGTATTGTGGGTTGTTCTCGACATATTTTTCACAGACCCTGGAGAATTAATGCAAACCAATTAACATCCGGATTCTCAGTGAAACTGAAACTATAAAAGTTGAGTTTTTTTCATTGTTGCTGTAAGAATCATCAATTAACTTCAGCAAGTTGCTCTTTATTGATGAAACTCCAGATAACTCGACTGATAAGGGGAGGATCCCCATCGAGCATCCAACTTACGTGAAAGTCTGCCGAAAAACCGATGCCTCAAGATATGCAAAAGCTCTAAACGACAATCCATCTATCTGGCTCCGGAATTAAATTGCACTGACATAATAATGGCTGGACAATCTGGAAGAATTTTCAAACAACATTTTCCACAAATTGAACCGGACAACGAGGTGTTGAATGTGGGAAAATCGATCGATGCCAAGCGCACCACAGCGCAGCATTACTGGAAACTGTACGAGGTCGGAACGAAACCAGGGAAATAAATAACGCACATTTAACAAAAAAAAATGCAAAACTCTATGAAAAAAGGATTTAGCAATCAAAATCCCCTCGTACATAGAATGTAGTCGCCCAGCTGAATAATTGCTCCGGTCCGAGCTAAATTGGCTCGAACACTACACTTTCGCCTTTAACAGACTCTTCCGCTTGGAAGCAAAAAAACATTTTTTTTAAGTGGTTCCTGGCCAAACAGCAATCAAGTTAATTAGCTAAATGGCCTTGTTACTGAGCAAACAAATGACAATCCCATGAATTCGAGCGAAAACAAATCTGACCATCCCTCGCCCACCAAAGAGCCCACGTGCCCTGGACAGCAAACAATCGATCACCTAACGAAGCAGGTGAATGTTTTATAGGCAATTTTGATAGCCAATTATGAACTTTCTCTTTGAGCATTTCTCGTCCAAACAGCTGCACTTAAACAAGAAAATCGTCCATACCTTGACCATGGTTTTGGGGCTCAGCAATTTCAGTAGCGCTGTTTTGCTGGTCGACTGTGACTTGGTTCAGTTCAATGGTGGAATCGCTGGCAGGCATAGGGGGATTTTTGGAAGATGCGTCTCACTGGACACCCTATAATCAATACACTCTGTATAATATTAATAAGGGAAAATCATCTTTTTTTTATCCCAAGCAAGCATTTTTATAAGCTTTACGTAATTAAAACGAAAATTATCGGTTTTCATCCAATGGAATACGGGGTTATTTAGAGCAGAGCTGGGGAGGTTTTGAAGGTTCGGCGATAAAACGTTCAAATCTGGAGCGTTTACTAAGAAACTAGCTTTTTGTGGCTAAGAAAAGTTGGAATGGTGGAAATTTAATCAAATTAGAGTTGTTTTTTGCCTAATAAGCTTGAGCCAAAGTTTTCGAGCTTATCAACTCTCATCAACTGGGTCTAGCCTGAAATTAACACTCCCGGAGTCGGCAATTTGTAATCGAGAACTCGGTTTTTTTCCGGCAAAATAAATATCGCCTAAATAAATTCAAATGTATATTTTTAGGGTAATTTATGGCCTCTTTCCATCATTTGTTTGCTTTATCATCGATTTAAAGTAAAAATCAACCAACAAAAAACTGAAATAATTAATATCTATTTATAAAATGTTAATTCATTTGTCACCTGATTGATTTAAAAAATTCTTTAAATTTTCGGTTGTTGTAAAAATTCTAATTGTTTGCTAGCAACAGCTATTAATAAAGATATTATTATTATTAAAAACGAAGAAATTGTTTATAAGCGAAGCACCTCCAATTTACCCTGTATTATCCGTACAATTAAAAGAAACTATAAAATAACACTTTGACTACAAATTTGCAGATAACGTTAAAAACACTCGATGGTGCTTCTTCTCGAGGATTCTGTTTCTTTATTATATTTTCTGAAAAGGCATTGTTTGATAAGAACAAATCCACGTTTGAATTGTTAAAACTGAAGTCGTTTTTTGCCCAAATTTTGTCGAAAACAGCTGAATAAGCACTCAAGAGTATGTATGAATCAGCGATCTCAAGAAGGATTAAATTATTTTAAGTGTTTTGGCAAAATTAGTCATGTTCGCTAGAAGCAATTCACATCAAAAAAATTTGTATTATATTTCATTTCCATAAATTAAATTTGTTTACCACTGTGAATGAGCCACTGAAAAATAACATGACAGGGACAATAAAATTACACTAAAGATCAGGGCGCATTAAATTAAAAACAAATTAAAATAATTTATGGAAATTTCAATCGTTTGCCGTGACCGTTTTATTTTTCTAAACAATTTCCTTCTTTTTCTCGCCGATTTAAGGGAAAAAGTCCCTTTTTGGCACCAAAACACGTTTAACGTATTTACGTCATTATTGCACACACATTTGCACCTAATCTGTAAGGCAAAAATGCAATTAAAAGAAATAAGTGTATGTTGAATTAAAGTCACATTGTCTACCTTAGGACTGGTTTTTTTGTTAGGGGGAGCGTAGAAAATTGCCCGCAAAAGAAACTTTTCACCGACGCGCTCTCTAAGTGAACTGATAAAACCGGCAAAAAAGAGCAAAGCCACCCTTTCCAGTCCGTAAAGTTCGCGGAAAGCGCTCCAACACTTCGCATTACCTCTAATTAGCTGCATTTGGAGTTGCTCAGTTTTACCAGATTTTATCCAAGCAATTTTTCTTTCCACAAAAAATCCGAATATTTCTGTAAACTACCCTTAAATTGTTCTTTGGACGACACTTTCAAGTATAGCAAATTCGGTTCATTGTGCCAATTTTTCAGCGTTTCATTGAGTTAACTATGTTACAAATAGGCGAAAAATTCATTATCCAATACTTCCAGGAATTATCCAGACTTTGAACCTCGTTTGAAACCTTTCTGCGAATGAGACCTTTCGGCTAACGATCCGTGTTGTTTTATAGGTTTCGATATGATGACATTTTGGCAAGGATAAAAGGTAAATTGGAGGCAAACAGCCAATATCTGGAAACTTTCGCTCAGTGGCTTCGGAAAAACTTAATTTTGAGACCATTGAATGCAGCAACAAAAAACTGAAATCAAAGACAAAATTGCTGGCTGTTTCGTTCTTTCGACCACACCTTTTTGCCTTTCGTGTCAGTAACAAGGGGAGAGATAGGAAATAGTCGGGCACTCCTTTTGGAAGCCTCGGGGGTTTATAACTTTTCCCCCGTCACGTCCGACTGTCCGGGCGGGGTATCACACGGCATGATTTTTCATCAAATATTCCTAATTACCAGATTAACAGATACCAACGAACTAAATCGGGGAATTAAACGATTTACGCGATTTTTTATACATTAACAGCATATTACTTGGCCTTAAGCTAAACTTCAAAAATGTGATAAATACACGGAAAACATGTTCAAATCGCCAGACAAATCAACGAAAACCAGAGATCAATTAAAGCCTGAACCGAAAACATTATTGAACGCAAAATTATACGGAAAAACTAAAATGCATGCAAGTGAAACAAAGCAGGGGTTTGGAACCACTGTATTGGAAAAGGAACAAAGCTATAAAATTGAATTGGGGGGCCGTTCTGGTTAACGCGGGCGAACTCTGATTCGTCCGTTCTCTCAACTTCCACGCGATTGGCCGCGTAATAAATCGGACGCCCACAATATGCTTCATTTCGTTTTAATACAGATGTTAGCGGTTCTGCTTTCTTGCACTCAGGCAGGTGATGGCTTTTAAGGGTTTAAACCCAATTTTCTTAGGATTAAAAATCGAAAAATTCAAGAGAATGGAACTGGAACAAACAATAATACGAGATTAAATTATGAATCATWAAAATTAAGCGACTTTGCAGATAATCCGACTTTTGGGTAATTGCTTGAGAGTTACTCAGAGAGATTAATCGAGATTAAGTTGTTTTYAGTTGAATCAATRAAATGCCAGCCAGGATTGCGATTATGCATRAAACTATGAGAAAATTAAATAAACTGTCTGGTAATTTCCAATCCCAACAATCAATAGACAATGGAGTGATTTAGCAAACTAAAGCAAATAAATAAATGAAAAATCGACAATAACCTTACCACCCACGAATCGGATCAAATTTAAACCAACGTGCTAATAAAACCTGGCCGATTACTAACTGAGATAAGAAAAATAATCTTAATTATGTTTAGCTGAGAGCAGATTTAAAATGGATATCTGGGTAGTAATATTTAAGCTTAAGATTCTTATCAATTTGGGACTTTTCGATTTCCAAACCTAGAAATTACATTGATTCATACCGGGAAAACCGGATTCATAAGTTAGCTGGAACAGTACAGAAATGAACAATATGCCACTTCCCAAGAGATTTCGGTAACATGTCAACCTCAAGCTTAAAGTTGCGTCCAAATTTAGCAAAAGTTGGTTCATTTCACACGTTTGCAATAAATCCTAGGTGAACTTGGAAGAAATACATCAAACAGCTCCCAATTTGGGGCATCCAGACAAGCGTTCCAATTGCTTTAATTGTTCACAACTAGGAACCGACATGAATCACACTAATTGCCTAGATAAGCACACAAAGATCGATATATTAGTATCAAATTTTGCAGATTAGAATTACTGATTATTTTCCCTATAAATGAAGAACGGCAGCATTTTGAAGCCAATACAGTTGACTGTCGCTTAGCTGTATTGACTATTTAAGTACTGCAGTTTCCTCAAGATGAATATACAGGTTTTGGTCTCCATTGTCACCGTAGCTGGATTAGCTTTGGTAAGTTGAAATTATCCATTTAAAATATGCATTGAAACTTGCCCAACTGGAACTCTTTATTTTAATTAAAATTATAACACTTTCAAAGCTTTCAAGCTCCAAATTTTTCCTAATTATCCGCGTACTAATTAGGATATTTCACTTTCTTAGGTTTTGCAAGTATCTGCAGCTGATTGGCAGCAACCACATCATCATCATCATCACCCAAAACTGGGGTTGAATAACTCAACAGTGTCTCCAAATGTGAGCAGCTCACCGAATGTGCCAACGCTTAAACCAAATGTTACCATTTCTCCTAATTGGACTTCTCCTTGGGATAATGTTACAACGATTTCTCCGAATTTGACCACACTTGAACCAAATGTGACTATTTCTCCCAACTGGACCACTCCTTGGGATAACGTAACAACAATTTCTCCCAATTTGACCACGATTGAACCAAATGTGACCATTTCACCCAACTGGACCACTCCTTGGGCTAATGTTACGACAATTTCTCCCAATTTGACCTCACTTGAACCAAATGTTACAATTTCTCCCAACTGGACTACTCCTTGGTCAAACATCACGACAATTTCTCCGAATTTGACCACACTTGAACCAAATGTGACTATTTCTCCCAACTGGACCACTCCTTGGGATAACGTAACAACAATTTCTCCCAATTTGACCACGATTGAACCAAATGTGACCATTTCACCCAACTGGACCACTCCTTGGGCTAATGTTACGACAATTTCTCCCAATTTGACCTCACTTGAACCAAATGTTACAATTTCTCCCAACTGGACTACTCCTTGGTCAAACATCACGACAATTTCTCCGAATTTGACCACACTTGAACCAAATGTGACCATTTCCCCCAACTGGACTACTCCTTGGTCTAATGTAACGACAATTTCTCCTAACTTGACATCGCTTGAACCAAATGTGACCATTTCTCCCAACTGGACTACTCCTTGGTCTAATATAACGACAATTTCTCCCAATTTGACCTCGCTTGAACCAAATGTGACCATTTCCCCCAACTGGACTACTCCTTGGTCTAATGTAACGACAATTTCTCCTAACTTGACATCGCTTGAACCAAATGTGACTATTTCTCCCAACTGGACTACTCCTTGGTCTAATATAACGACAATTTCTCCCAACTTGACCTCGCTTGAACCAAATGTGACAATTTCCCCCAACTGGACTACTCCTTGGTCTAATCTTACGACAATTTCTCCTAATTTAACAAGCACCAGTCGTCCAAATGGAACGACTGGACCTGCAGACTGGAACACCACATGGATAACACCAAACGTTACGGGACTCTATCCGAACGACACCACGACTCCATTCTGGAACTATATGGAAGAAAGAAGGCGAATCGTTTCTTCATACTTTGAAACAGTCATCAGGAAGTTCTGGAGGAGAGGAGAGAGTGCACCTGTTCAGGTCCAAGAATTTCATAACATTGAAGAAGAAGACGGCCAACAATAAGATGAAGCATGCGAATTGAAATAAATGAGTTATTTTGATAAGCTTGTTAAATTTCCATACTGATCACGGATGTTCCAATAAGAACGATGGATTTAATTAAAACTTAATTAAGTATTTAAATAAAACATATATATTTGTGGCATAAGTTTGAAACATTTATTTAAAATTGAAGTACCTACACAGCCCCGGCTTTGCTGGCACGGAAGTGATCTTTTCAGAGAATTTTCTAGGACAGTTGCGCATCAATTTTGCGATATTTCAGAGATACAGTGTTGAATTTCATCTTTTAAGGCTTCAATCGTTGTATTTGTTCATATAAACTTGAAAAAACCCCAAAGAAAAAAGTCCAAAGGAGATAAATCGCATGATCTGGGAGGCCAATGCCGATCTACAAAACGAGAAATAACACGACCAGGAAATGACTCGTGCAGTAATTCAACAGATTCTCTGGCTGTATGGCATGATGCACCGTCCTGTTGAAACCACATGCTGTTTGGATCCATATTTTGCAATTTTGGCACAAAAAAGTTAGTTAACATTTCATGATAAAGAGCACCACTCACGGTTAATGCTTGATCAACTGCATTTGCGAAGAAAAATGGTCCAATGATGCCTCTAGCAGTGCACACTAAACAGTGACTCTTTTTGGATGCATTTTCAAATCAGTGGATTCATCAAATTCAGAAGAAAATGGGCCTCGCCACTAAAGATGATTTTCGTTGAAAAATCAGCGTCCAATTGTCGTTGTTCCAAAATCCAGTCTACAAAGGTGCTTCGTTACCTATTTTCCGGCTTTAGCTCTTGAGCCAATTCAAGTTCGTACGCATGAAGCTTCAAAGCTTTTGTTACAACACCAATTTCTTGAGCTCTATGCCGAATTGATGTGGTTGGGCTTTCCTCAACATTTGAGGAAAGCGTGTTTCTGTTTTCCCTTCATTAACAGACCCAGTTTGCTGAAATTTCTTCATTAATTTTCTCACAGTGGCTTCAGTTGGAGTATTCCGACGGCCCTTTGCAGATTTATTTTTTCTTTGTTGATTCTGTTCATTTATGGTCAAGTAACCGTTCAACAATTTTATTTTTATTTTCTTACAAGGAAGTTATAAACAATTACGTCACTAGACACAACTTTGATGTTGGGCTTGCATTTCGTACACGTTGTGCCGGCGTTTACTTTTTCTTCAAGCCAACTTTTAAGGGTGCTTAGTGAGGTTTAGTTGGAGATTTGAAGAAAATGACTGAGTGTAGCAGTACTACGGTGTCTACAGTAGAAAAAAACGTTTGTAAAAGTGCCTTTGGACGAAAAACGTCGAAAACTGTGGCTTCAAATGGCGCGACGAAATCCCAAAGAAATCTCGACGAAAAGCTGCATTTATGTTTGTGAAGACCATTTTGCAGTAAGTTTTATTACATATTTTCTTCGTTCCTCTGAAGTAAATACCGAAAGTAGATACCATTTAGATTAATTATCACATGTATACCTATACTTTTTAGCTTGAAAACAACATGGAAAATTATATGGAATGAAAAACGATAGGGGTTCGAAAAATAATGAAACCAGACTCAATTGGGAACTTTAACGTTTATTTTATTTCTTTAATATATTTGCCTATCTATAGAAATCGGGCACACCAAATATCAGCCCTTAAACCGTAATATTTAATTTTCAGTAAACAATTCAAGTTGTGACCGGAGGCTATTCATTTGAAACGACACTAAACGCGCTGGAATGGTCGTGACGTCATAGCGCTAGTTCGTTCGATCGGAAGGCAATACGGGAATACGGTTAGTCGTTGAATTGTCTGGGTGTTTGACCGTTCAGAATTCGTGCTGTGCTTTATTAATAGTGGAAGCAACAAAAAAACAGTATTACAAATGATGAATGGTGCCACTGTGTCCTAGCGCAACTTTTTGCAACGCCAGATAGGCTATTTATTCGAGTACCACGAGATAAAAGCCGGCTTTTAAAATGTTAACACATATTTTTATGCAACTTTAATATTATTTATTAATTCTAGCTGAAAGAAGAAATGGATAACTATGTTAAATTCAAGTTAATGGGAGGTCTGAAAAAAATGAAGGCTAATGTACTTGTAACTTGCACTCATCTACTGCAGAATCTCCATAAGAATACCTTCCCGATCTGTAAATAACGTTTTTTTTAATTAACATTGTTATTCTTAGTAACTAAGGATATATTTAATCATTAACGCCAATGTTATTTTTTTGTTGAATCACTTGCATTTCGATCAATATGTACTGTTTGAATTTTAAAAATTAGAGCCATTAAAAACCCAATCTAACATTTTATCTATTTATATTATTATCGAATAAGTAAAACTATTGACTATTTTGTCTATAAATCTACCTGTTAGCTTTACCACCGCGAACTTCAGCAAGAGTAAAACTTTCGGTGTTTTTAACGTAAGATGCCACCTTAAACATATCCACTAGTGGTAAGATGCCAGATTGTCCTTTTACAAAACCTGCGCCAGTCATTTTGCAAAATTTTATTTTTCTTCTAATACACTATAGAAACGGTTTAACGATAATATCAAACCTGAGGTTACATGTTTACAGGCTCCGCATTGCAGCCGCCACGGCCGACTAGCTATTTGACGTCACAACTGGTCCCAGCCAATGACAACGCTTTACAAGAAATATTTTAATTATATAGTTTTTAGTTGCTTATATTAATTACATATAAAAATCTAAGATAATTCAAAATTATATCTGGGCCTAATGACAGAAAATCTATTTATAATTGAACTAATAAAACAATTTACTCAATTAGACACCACAAGTATATATTTAGTATTACAAAAAATGTGCCTTGATAAAAGTTTTGCAGAATTAGGTGACGATTTTTGGGTTTCTACAAGTACCCACTGGTAGTAGAATTTTTTCAAAGTCCGATAAACCAATTAACCGGATGTTGAAAAGTTTGATAACGTGGATGCCAGCTGATAAAGTCCAAAAAGTCTTCCGATACCTCTTAGAACATGTTTTAGCAAAGTTTATGCTATAATAGATTGCTTAGAAATTGAAATTCAAAAAGCAGAAAATCCAATCAAACAAGCTTCAACGTGGTCTGATCATAAAACATTCAATACAATAAAGTATCTGATATCTTCCACACCAGACGGAATAATTGCGTTAATTTCACCTGGCTTTGGTCCACGTACATCTGATACTGTGATTGTCGAAAAAAGTGGATGGTTGGATAAGAACAAAACAACAAAAATAAACTAATAAAATAAAACACAAGGTAACTGTAGGGTTTAAATGAACACACAAACTATGTGCGGGCCGGCGTGTCTTGTGACATCAGACCAATCACATGGCGTTTCCACATTTAATACGAAAATATTTTTTTTCGGGATTTATTTTTCTTGCAGTGTATTTATATGCAACAAAATTTGTATTCTCGTATGTTTTTAATTAAAAATAAATTTCATGTAAAGGGCCCATTTCGCGGGCGCATTGGCGTGCAATTCAAAACCGTGTTCTTATTTGAACACCATTAATATGCGTAAATAAATAAATAATCCTGCAACAAATAAATATTGTACCGTGGATGGCCGAGTATCAAACTCTTTCTTCTGCTTCCAACTTTTATTCCACTCGGTACAACTTTAACTACGGAACTGGAACAAACTAACTTCTAAATTAACGTCAACTTCACAAACAATAACAATAACAAACGGAAAACACGCGTTTCCGACTCGCGGGGTTTAGCCTCTTCTGCACTCGGACGCGGCTGTCACTTCACTCTTTTTCGCGTCTGGTTCTCGTCGTCGCTTATATCCTTTTCTCCAGGTATTCCAGATAGTTCTAGAAATCTCCAGAACAGGTGCGAAACTTCCCGCTTGTCAGTGTCATATTTTGACAGTAAATGGGGCCCAAATGGGGCTCCCATTTACTGAAATACCATGAATTTCGATCCCCCATTCCAAACGTGAGTACCCCAGGCCATTTCCGTTACAATATTATAAGTGTATCTTGACGAAATGGCGAATGAATTTATCAAAAAACTGTCGGCGAATTTTTATATACTTGTAGGCTTTCACATAGATCCAATCAAATCCTTTCTTCCTTCCTTTTATATAAATATTTACTAATGATTAGATTAATCAGTTAGAGTCGTATAGTTAGTTGCTATCTAGAGCTAAATTGGATAGTGCCTCAATGCCATTACATTATTGTGTGTGCCTAAACGTTTGAAAGTTTAGCTCAAATAGAGAGGAAAGTCTCTAGTTTTTAAAATATCGAGAAATAATTGAGATTGATTGGGTAAAATCCAGCAGTAAACTGGCCAGTTCAGGACTAAAAAAAGCGGCTTATAGGACTAGTCTCAACTTACCAGTTATCTAAGATTTACAGACCATAAGCACACCGAAGGTTTCAGTCAAACACATTTTGAATATTTGCCGATAGCTTAAATGCGAGCAACAATGAGAGCCACGCATTGAAGTCATGCAACTTGCCTTAATAGGGCTCCGAAACGACAGGGCATGATTCATTGGTTTCGATCACCTGAATAGTGTGACGACTTATTAACTGCATGAAACTGCGGAATTATTTACAGTTCATTGCCAATGCACTCGTTTGGCGCTTTAGATAATTGTAATTATCCCCTTTCGACCACAAGGTTGTTCACAAAAATTGAAATCTAACCAAGCCACTCACCTAAACGCTGCTGATCCAAATCGAAATACGCATTTCTGGTTGGATAATTGTTCATGCCTTTAGCTCACAGTTTCATTTATCACAAACAAAGTCCCTTACACTTATAAAGTTTTACAACCCGTGGATGTTTGTTTGGTACTAATTTCTAATAGTTTTTGAGGTTAAAGCTGGTTCCTCTGATTTTGGCTACACCTAACCCTGCATATGGACTTATGACTTAGGCTGCATTGATAAGTATCTTACTTCACTAGTGAAAACAATGACAAAATTCACACTGCAGTTGAAAAAGTACAAAGAACAGCTTTAATACATAAGGGCACAACCGCATTTGGCTCACATCCATCCAACTGCGTTCTGGATTTTTCGCCTCATCCCAGGACAATTAGCAAGAATTTGGGGGCTGAAACATGGTTGATGAGTGCAGGCTAAATGGTCGACCCACAACCATAGATAAAGACGAGTAGCCCACAACCAGTAGACAGCAATTTTATTTTGGAACGTAAAACGATGATGTTGCGTTCCCAAACTCTTAATTATACTTGTTTAGTTTAATCAGAATTCCCGTTAGTCTCGTCTCGAGTTGTTTCTGGTTTAATGGAACTACCGTCGTGTGTGTGCCTACACAACGAGACAGATATGGGGCTGGAACCAAGAACGCTCCCATCCATTTCTGCTACGGCCAATTGGGCACTTTCTTCGGTTGTATAATAGACAAAGCCGAATCCTCTACTGCGTCCTCCTTCCATCATCACTCTTGCCTGAGTGATTGTTCCAAATGGAGCGAATTCGGCTCGTAGTCGCTCGTCATCAATAGTACCATCCAGGTTTTTAACGTACAAGTTAGCGAGCTCTTCGAATTTGTGTGAACCTGGAATAACGGGATCAACTCGAGGTGGTTGGAATGGAAGTTTCCATTTTGCTTGGGCATTGTGAAGGTCAACGTGCTGCCTCCGCATTGTAAAAGTATTTTGAGTTGATCGGTGGTTGATATGAATCGGAAATATTCCAGAGTTTTCCAAACCCTATCCAAAAACAGAGATGTTAGTTTGGGAGAATAAGACCTGGAACACATTGGAAATTGTGCGACTGGGGCCCCAAATATACAGAGATTTTATTTTTGCAGCCACTATCGGGACAAAATCGATGAATGTGTAAGTTGATTTACTTTCCTTTGAGTTAATTTATCTCTGTCCAATACAATTTGATTTTCATTAGGGAAAGGAAAAATAAACAAAATACGATTAACATCAGCACGAAAGATAAGTCACAGATTATCAAACTATTGAGAATTGCCTTGACTTCCGTATATGTATAACTAGCTAAATCGATTTAATAGTCTTACCCAGTTTATCTTAGTTTCGCCAGTAATTAGTAAGGCCAGAGACAAGACTTGTCTCTGGTAAGGCGTCAAAACCTACTCAAACTTACGTAGAAGACTCATAGATGAAGACAAGAGAAGACGAATTTACTCTTTGCTCACAACCTCTATGATTTGTGGTTGGAACCAGGTAGGAACGGTTGAAAAAATCTAAGGAAACAAATAATGTAAACACGCGCACGCTTGAATTAAGCACCTTTAAGTCAGCGTTTTCTTACCAGATTGCGCCACATTCCTCGCGTACTTGCCTCAGCGTTACAGAATGGACCGAAAATAGGCTCTGTGATTGGCTGTCCCTGCGACGTCAAGTGCGCAATAAGAACGGCGGAACCCACCATAATGTCAATAATAATAATTTGCTTCCGGCCAATACTTGTAAATATTTTTTACC